CAATTCCCAGCACCCACATGGCAATTCACTTCTTGGGGATCAGACACCTTCATACCAATGCATACAAAATAAAGTTAAATAAATTATCTAAAAAAAAAGATTCCTTCTTCCCAAGTGACCCTAGCCTGTGTCAAATTGAATAAAAAGTATTCAGCAAGCTTGACGGTGGTGGTGCACGCCTTTAATCCCATAACTCAGAGCCAGAGGCAGGCGCATCTCTTTGAGTTTGAGGCCAGCCTGGTTTACAGGAGCTAATTCCAGGACAGCCTCCAAAGCATCAGAGAAACCCTGTAGGGGAAAAAAAAGTAGCCAGCAAAAGCCATTTTGGGGGGGGAGGCATGGAAGCTCTAATGCAAAGAGACAAGTGTGCTCTCCTCTCTTCTGCTTCCTAAATTTTAGAATGCTTTAGATTTATAGAAAAATTGTAAAGGCATGTCCAATGCACTTACAACTACAAAGTTGAGAGATTGGAGAGATGGTTCCTACAGAGGACCTGGCTTTGATTCCCAGCACCCACATCATGTGACTCACAAGGGCCTGTGTACCAGCTGGTTTTGTGTCATCTTGACACAGCTAGAGCCCTCAGAGGAAGCAGCCTCAGCTGAGGAAATGCCCCCATGAGATAGCTGTAAGGTGTTTTCTCATTTAGTGATCACTGAAGGAGGGCCCAGCCTATGGTTGGTGGTGCCATCCCTGGGAAGGTGGTCCTGGGTTCTATACGAAGGTGAGCCAAGCAAGCAGCTCCCCTCCATGGCCTCTGCATCAGCTCCTGCCTCAGGGATCCTGCCTGAGTTCCTGTCCTGACTTCCTTCAGTGGTGGACAGCAATGCTGAAGGGTAAGCCTAACAAACTCTTTCCTTGTTTGTTGGTCATAGTACTTCATGGAAACAATAGAAACCCTAACTAAGATGATCTGTGTCTTCAGTTCTAGGCGTTCTAATGCCTTCTGTCTCTGAAGGTACTTCCATTCATGTAGTGAACAAAAACTTACTCGGACACGTACACATACAGAACAAACAATAAAAAATCCTGCTGTAAAGCAGGACCGAGTGTAATGGAAGATGAAGATCAGGAAATGGATCTGAGTTCAAGGTGTTTTGGGTTTTTTTTTTTTATCAGTGTGGGCTAAAAAAAAATTGAGTCAGGTGTTATGGGACACACCTTTTTTTTCTTTTTTTCATGTTTGTTTTCCTGAGTCAGGGTCAGGCCACAGGGTGCTGCTGTGACTGGCCAGGAACTCACTATGTATACCAGAGTTTTATGTAATAGTTCACCAAGGAGAAGAAAGACAAGGAAGCATGGACAAGAAACGTACAGGAGCATAACAAGCTTTTTCTTTATAAGAAGCAGCACATTCCAGCTGCTTGAGCTAGAAATGTGTTATCCAGATCATGTCCCTCTGTTCTTACTAAGCTAGAGTGGGCTTAGACATAGAATCTGTTTATTTCTCAGAGGAGGCTGTTGGCAACAGCAGTGCCCACACCCAATCCCAGTGCTTAGGAGGTGGAGGCAGGAGGATCAGAAGTTTGAGAACAGCTTGGTTACATAAGATCTGGTTACAAAGCAACAACAGCAGCACCAACAAACCACTGAATTATTGGAAGCTGGGCATCGTGGCACATGCCTTGACTTCCTAGCTCTTGGAAAGATGTGGCAGGATGATCTCAAGTTCAAAGTCAATTTAAGACAGGTAACTGACTTATGAAGTTGGCATGTCTATTGGTGTTCTTGTTCAGCTGTTGATGAGAATTTGTGTGACATTCCTAGGAGAGACAATCTCACAGTAAGCTCCCTGGTCCCCCTGCTTTCAGGACCTTTCTGCCCTCTCTTCAACAATGTTCCCTCAGTCTTAGGTGTGGGACTATTTTGTAGATGTGTCCGGTCTAGGCTTCACAAGTCTTCATTTTGATTGGTTGTGGTCATTCCATTATGGACTCTGTCTACTGCTTTTTTCTTTTGAGACAGTGTTTCTCTGTATTGTTTTGGAGGCTGTTCTGGAACTTGCTCTGTAGACCAGGCTGGCCTCAAATTTACAGAAATCCACCTGCCTTTGCCTCCATAGTACTGGGTTTAAAGGGATATGCTACCATGCCCAGTTGACTCTGTCTATTGCAAAGAGATATTTCCTTGATGTGGGGTTAGGATAACACTTAACTCTGGGTAAATGATAAATGTTTGTTAGGAATTATGCTGTTTTTTTTTTTTTTTTTTTTTTTTTGGTTTTTACGAGACAGGGTTTCTCTGTATTGTTTTGGAGGCTGTCGGTCCAGCCTGGCCTCGAACTCACAGAGATCCTCCTGCCTCTGCCTCCCGAGTGCTGGGATTAAAGGCGTGCGCCACCAACGCCCGGCTTATGCTGGTTTTTTAAAAAAAGATTTATTATGTATACACTGTTGTGTCTGTATGTATGCCTCCTTACCAGAAGAGGGCATCAGATCTCATTATAGATGGTTGCTAGGAATTTAACTCAGTACCAACTTCTGAGCCTTCTCTCCAGCCTGAACTATGCTTTTCTTTTTTTTTTTTTTTTTTTTTGGTTTTTCGAGACAGGGTTTCTCTGTATTGTCTTGGAGGCTGTCCTGGAACTCGCTTGGTAGACCAGGCTGGCCTCGAACTCACAGAGATCCACCTGCCTCTGCCTCCCAAGTGCTGGGATTAAAGGCATGCGCCACCAACCCCGGCTTGAACTATGCTATTTTAATAAAGTGGTTGTAGGTTCTTGTGTAATTGTACTTTATAATTGGGACTGTCAGCCCACAAAAAACAACACAGACATTTATTAATTATGAAAGCTTGGCTATTATCTTAGGCTTGTCCCATTAGCTATTTTTTGTTTGTTTGACTAATTTTTTAAGACAGGGTTTCTCTGTGTAGCCCTGGCTGTCCTGGAACTCACTGGGTAGACTAGGCTGGGTTTGAACTTATAGAGATGCACCTGCCTCTGCCTCCCAAGTGTTGGGATCAAAGGCGTGTGTCACCACTGCTCGGTTGTCCCATTAGCTCTTATAACTTAAAATAGCCAGTTTTTTATTAATCTACATTCCTCTATGTGGCTGGGTTACTTCTACCCTGTAGAGCCCATCCTGTTTCCTCCCTGTCCGGATGGCCTCTCTACCTTTCTTCTCCCCAGAGTTCTCTGCACAGAAGTTCCACCAATACTCCTGCCTAACTCAGGAGGCCGTTCAGCTTCTCCCTCCTCTCCCCCCCAGGTAGAGTTTCTCTGTAGCTTTGGAACCTGTCCTAGATCTCAATCTGCAGACCTGGCTGGCCTCGAACTCACAGAGATCCACCAGCCTCTGGAGTGCTGGGATTAAAGGCGTGCGCCACCACCGCCCAGCGGCCGGTCAGCTCTTTATTACAGCAATCCATCTTCACATAGTGCACTAATATCCCACAACATTCAAGTCCTTTCACATAGCATCAGCAGGAACTAATATAAAAAAGAAAGAAAGAAAAAAAAAAAGAGCATGGGGGTGGCAGTGATGGTGCATGCTGGTTTTTTTGTTTGTTTGTTTTTGTTTTTCGAGACAGGGCTTCTCTGTATTGCTTTGGAAGCTGTCCTGGAACTGGCTCTGTAGACCAGGCTGACCTCGAACTCACAGAGATCCTCGGGCTTCTGCCTCGAGTGCTGGGATTAAAGGTGTGCACCATTCAGCCAGGGTGGCCCATGCCTTTAATCCCAGCACTGGGGAGGCAGAAGCCCGAGGATCTCTGTGAGTTCGAGGCCAGCCTGGTCTACAGAGCCAGTTCCAGGACAGCCTCCAAAGCCACAGAGAAACCCTGTCTCGAAAAACAAACAAGCCAGACACTGTTTGGAGTCCTGGGCCTAAAAACATAAGGGACCACCTCAGGTAACTCAGGCTACTTCAGATGACACCACAGAGCTGTGCCTTCACCATTGCCACAATGGCTAGTTTACTTACTATATGCCAAAAAAGAAAAAACTATCATTTAGCCTTTACTATTATTAGTGAATTTTATTCTATTAATTATCTGAACGTAAGCAAGGATTTTCTGCAAGACAGCATGCCGGTTTTTCTCCCTCGGTATCAGAAGTATACTTGCATAAATGTTGAGGATCTGTTCCCAAGATTCAACTAAAACTTCTTAGCATTCAAAGCTTTTCACTATGTCGAAAAGCCAGTCAAGCACAAATACACAGCCCTCACAGAAGGGAATTTCATAGCCTGTGATTATTAATCTCCGCAGTGGCAGCTCTTAGCTATTTTTGTTTTTCTTTGTTTTTTCGAGACAGGTTTTTCTCTGTAGCTTTGGAGGCTGTCCTGGAACTCTTAGCTACTTTCTTTAGCATCTCTTTGTACATTATGCGCGAGCTTGCCTGTGTGGAGATCGGAGAACAACTCAGAGGAGTTTGCTCCCTGCCTCACACCTTGTGGGCTCCAGGGACAGAACTCAGATTGTCAAGTTTGTCCGCTGGTGCCTTCACGCCCAGATCTTAGCCTCGGGCTTTTAAATGCCCCACCACGCCGGGCAGCTTTGCTTGTGTCGTAACTCCAAAGTTGTCCAAGTGCCTACGTTTTTGCCCAGATCAATGTTAAGCCCGTGGCCCCCAACACCACCAGAACAGAAGGCCCTGCAGCGGATCGGAGTTTCATAACCCCAACAAAAAGCAAAGAGGAACAAAGAAAGGCTGTTGTGCAAACGACCTTTGGAAAGAAACCTTTCCTTTTTCACAAACAGGTAACTAAACCGATAAGCGTGCTGTAGTCGCGGGAAGATTTCTCCTCAGCCGCAGGCTGGGACTTCACGTGAGCAAAATGGATCCGAAGAAAACCGACTTCATTTTCAGACACAAACGTCGTCCACGGGGCTAGCTTGCCCACAATAAAGATGGATTCTCCGAGCGCCGACCTCGCTTTTAAATGAAACGTAGCAGGCATTCTTCTTAAGGGTAAAGGAGCAAGGCGGAAAAGTAGCCGGCTCACTCGTCTCGGAAACCCCAGACGCTTACTTCCCGAGAGTCCAATCGGAATCCAGATTTCTCACCGGAACCGCCCTACCTCACGGCCGGAAGAGGCTGTGCGTCAGCGCGTTGGGGCGGAAGTGGCGGGAGGGCGGTGGTGGGTAGTTGGCGGGTGGTTGACGAGAGCGGCCGCCATGTCCGCAGGGAGCGCGACACATCCTGCCGCTGGCGGGTAAGGGCTTCGCGGGCCAGGCGGGGTAGCGAGCACGGGCCGGGGAGAGGGAGGCCGGGGAGGCTGCGTGTGGGCCGGCAGGCCCCGAAGCAGGACGCGTCCGTACGCTCAGGCCGGGTTCTGGAGAGAATGTTGAGCGGGCCTCGGGCGCCGGGAAAAGGCCGGCCTCGGTGCGAGGGAGACGGGAACTCTGTTTTCGAAGGGCGAGCCAAGGAGAAGGCGCACGCAGAGAGCACGCCGGGGCGACTCGAGGCTTGGAGCGGCAGTGGCTGGAAAGGGATTGTTTTGGAGAGGGGTCGGGAGGAGTAGGGATATTGGGGAAGGAAGCTGAGTTTTTGACCGGGAATTCTGTAGTGACTGTGGAGCATGACAGGCAAAATGGAATAGTGTGTGCCGAGAGAACAATACAAAGGAAGGCTTTAGGCCCCAGTATTTCCCTTTCCCTACCTGTAGGCGCCGCAGCAAATGGGACCAACCGGCTCCAGCCCCGCTTCTCTTCCTGCCGCCCGCGGCCCCGGGCGGGGAAGTCACCGGCAGCGGGGGAAGCCCTGGGAGCGCCACCGCCGCCGCTCCCTCGGGAGCTTTGGATGCGGCCGCCGCAGTGGCCGCCAAGATCAATGCTATGCTCATGGCCAAAGGGAAGCTGAAACCGTCTCAGAATGCCGCCGAGAAGGTATCCCGAGTGGAAGACACTTTGCTATTTGCCGTTTTATCGCTTTTTCAGTTTCATAGTCAGTCGGGCTAATGACGGTGAAAACCGCTAGAGCGAAGACAGACCACGTTTGGGATTATCCGGATATCTTGTTAGATTGTTCTTGGAAGGGAGAGGGTTTTTGTTCTTTGTTTCAGACAGGGTTTCTGTGTCTGTAGACAAGGTTGGCCTGCTTGCAGAGATCCTCCCGTCTCTGCCTCTCAGGTGCTGGTCATGACAGGTGTGCTCACATCGTGAGGTTAGACAATTTTAGTTGGTCTTGTTACTTTTTTTTTTTTTTTTTTTTTTTTTACGAGATAGGGTTTCTCTGTATTGTTTTGGAGGCTGTCGGTCCAGCCCGGCCTCGAACTCACAGAGATCTGCCTGCCTCTGCCTCCTGAGTGCTGGGATTAAAGGCGTGCGCCACCACCGCCCGGACGGTCTTGTTACTTTTATGAACTAGTTTTTGTGCTTATAAACTTGATTCAATTTTTTATAGTAATTTAAAGCAATATGTTCCTGATACATGAAGTTCAGGTAAATCAAGTGAATGTTTTTAGAAATATTTGTATGTGTGGCTTGGTGTGTCATAGCATTTGGGTGTCTATGTGAGGGATGTGGGGATTGGACTAAGGTCATCAGGCTTGGTAGTAAGCACCCAACCCTCTGAACATCTTGCTAGCCCCAGCGAATGTGTGTGTTGTGCGGCATGACAGAAGTCAGGAGGACATGCAGTGCACATTGCCACCGTGACCATCGGGGGTCAGAGTCAGGGTCTCTGCTCACTGCCATGTGTATGTCAGGCTGTCACTTGAGCTCCAGGGATTCTTTGTCTCTGCCTCCTGTCATGCTGTAGGGGCTCTGAGATGACAGATGCAAGCTTCCATGTCTGGTTTGGCTCATGTATTCTGGGAATTAAAAGTCAGTCCTAATGCTTGACCATCATGAGTGGCTATTATCACCCAAGAGCTAAAATAATTTTAAAAAGTTATCTCTGTAGCTGGGCAATGATGACACACATTTAATCCTAGCAGAGGCAGGCACATCTAAAGGCCAGCTAGATTTAAGGTGATTTCCGGGACAGCCAGGGCCACACTAAGAGACCCTGTCTTGAAAAATAAACAAGTGTTTGAAAGAGAAAGTTTGTTGGTTCTCCCGTGTTTTCACTTCCATTTCGCTCTCCCAAAGGATGTCTTTTGCCTGGGGGTGGGGGTGGGGGTGGCGGCTGCAGTGCAGAGCACTCAGGAGACACAGGCAGGTGGATCTCTGTGAATTCGAGGCCAGCCTGGTTACAGAGTGAGTTCCAGGGCAGCCTCCAAAGCCACAGACCCTGCCTCGAGTCCCCTCCCCCCCAAAAAAGAAAAACAACAACAAAGTTATCTTTAATTAGTTCTAAAATACTTTTTAAAAAAATATTTTTAAATTTATTTATTTACTAATTTATTTATATACAGTGTTCTGCCTACATGTATACCTGCAGGCCAGAAGAGGGCACCAGATCTCATTACAGATGGTGTGAGCCACCGTGTGGTTGCTGGGAATTGAACTCAGGACCTCTGGAAGAGCAGCCAGTGCTCTTAACCCCTGAGCCATCTCTCCAGCCCAGTTCTAAAATATTTTAATGACTAAATATGAGCTAAAAATGGAGAGTTTGTATTTCAACTGTTTTTCTCTTAAATTAAGAGCATTAGTTGGGTATTTTACAATATTTCCAGTGTAATTAAATCTTCAAAGTGAAGCATTATTTTGCCATAAAGTACAAAATAGCATATAAACCCTAACAAAAGAGTTGCAAAGCCGGGCGTTGGTGGCGCACGCCTTTAATCCCAGCACTTGGGAGGCAGAGGCAGGCGGATCTCTGTGAGTTCGAGGCCAGCCTGGTCTACAAGAGCTAGTTCCAGGACAGCCTCCAAAGCCACAGAGAAACCCTGTCTCGAAAAACCAAAAAAAAAAAAAAAAAAAAAAAAAAAAAGAGTTGCAAAATTATAGCTTCCTAGTTCTTGAATGAGTTCTGTGGGTTGTTGCAGTTCTGCTGCTTTACTCCATAAATGATAGCAATTTGATCTCCGGAGCGTCATAACGCTGACCTTTAATTCAGTCTCTGGTCTAGTTTCTTTAATACTTTAAAAATATATAAGGTGGCTGTAGTGCACTTGGTAGAGGGCTTACATAGGACACCAGAGGCCTTGGGTTCAGTCCCTAGCACACATACACATACCTGGACACAGTGGTCCATTCACAGCTACATAGCAACTTTCAGGTCAGTCTGGGTTTCATGTGATCCTGGGCTGTATAATAAGACCTTGCCTAAAAAAACAAAGAAAGGGCAAAATTACAGTATTCTGATCCTGATGTTTTTTAAGTTTTATTTTATTTCAAGACAGGGTTTCTGCCGGGCATTGGTGGCGCACACCTTTAATCCCAGCACTCGGGAGGCAGAGGCAGGTGGATCTCTGTGATTTCGAGGCCAGCCTGGTGTCCAGAGCTAGTTCCAAGACAGCCTCCAAAACAATACAGAGAAACCCTGTCTCGAAAAACCAAAAAAAAAAAGGACAGGGTTTCTGTTTATAGGGACTGTCTTTGTAGACCTGGCCAGCCTTGCACTCAGGTCCGCCTGCCTCTGCCTCTAGAGTCCTGGGACTAAAGGTGTGTGCACCATGCTCAGCTGCGGTCAGTTCTCTCAACTGCCAACCCCCATGTCTAGTCATAATGTGCCCTTGGCCCATAGTGTGTATGTGGAGGTCTCAGGAATGCTTTGTGGAGTGTGCTCTCTAATTTATTCAGGGTTTTTTGTTTTTCTGAACTTGGACTGATAGATCGTGCATGGCAAGTGCCTTTACCTGCTGAGCTGTCCTGCCAGTCCTATGATGCCATTTAAGTGAGGTTTTATTTCTTTTTTTTTTTAAATATCATTTGTGAAGAATAACCAGATAAAATATTTTTTTAGGTAAAGAGAAAAACTGGAAAGTAGGTGGGACTTGAGATAGCTGTAAATCAGACAATTAAATCATAAAAACGTATAATTCAGTCAGGTGATGGCACATGCCTTTAATACCAGCACTTGGGATGTAGAGGCTGGCCTGGTCTACAGAGCAAGCCCCAGGACTGTCAGAGCTGTTACTCAGAAACCCTGTCTCAAAACACAAACAAAACCCTTTCAGTGCTTTTTTTTTCTATTTTGTAGCTTCAGGCCCCTGGCAAAGGCCTAACTAGCAATAAAAGCAAAGATGACCTGGTGGTGGCTGAAGTGGAAATCAACGATGTGCCCCTTACGTGTAGGAACTTGCTGACGCGAGGACAGACTCAGGATGAGGTGTGTGGGCCCTGGGGAGGGTGGCCAGTGATCCAGAAAGCTACTTCTGGATGCAAGTATTCATTAAATCAAGATTGGGTTTCACTGAAGAGGATAATAGTGCAACAGATGTGGGTAACTTCCTGGGTAGGTTTGATGCAGTCAGAATTTCAGATACAGGACAATTGATATTTGGTGAAATGAGTGGGAGGAGTACTGTCTTTGGTAGAAATACCTCATTACTACATCAGAGTTTTATTTTTAACTTCATAATCATGTGTATTTGTGGTGTTTTAGTACTTGTCTGTCATCAGTTTTAATAGAATGCTTCTACTTTTAGATCAGTCGGCTTAGTGGGGCCGCTGTGTCAACTCGAGGACGGTTCATGACGACTGAGGAGAAGGCCAAAGTGGGACCTGGGTGTGTATCCTACCCCTGACTTGGGGAAATGCAAGATATCTTGTCCACTTTATGCTTTCTTGTCTTTAGGGAATCTGTCTTAAAGGTGTTTGGTAGTAGCTTGAGGAAGAATGCTGTTGAATTTCATTATTTTTTAGGAGAGAAAACATGAAAGAGTATTATAATGACTAATGCTTAAACATGTTCCCTAGGCTGGAGAGATAGCTCAGTCCCTCCCTCCCTCCCTCCCTCCCTCCCTCCCTCCCTCCCTCCGTCTCTGTCTCTCTCTCTCTCTCTCTCTCTTTCTCTCTCTCTCTCTTTCTCTCTCTCTCTTTTGGGGGGGACAGGGTTTCTGTGTAGGGAGCATTGAGTGTCCCAGAACTTTCTGTAGTCTAGGTTAGTCTTGAACTTGGGAAGATCTGCCTGCCTCTGCCTATCAAGCACTGGGAGTAAGGTGTGCACCATCATTACCTGGCTTTTATGTTTTTGGACAGGCTTTTTTTCACTCTGACTCATCTCACTAGCTCCTAGTTAGCTAGCTTCCTAGTCTTTGCTCTTTTGTGTGTGTCGGTGCACAAGGAGCCAGATTGTCTTTCTTTATGATACATTTTGAGGCAGAGTCTTTCACTGAAACTGAGGCTTAACATTTTTTGGCTAGCTTGGCTGGCCAGCAAGCTCTTAATATGTGCCTATCTCCATCTTCCAACTCTGGAATCATAGGCATGGGCAATAATGCTGAGCTTTTTGTGGGTGCTAGGAATTTGAATTTAGGCTTTCTTGCTTTTACAACAAGCAGTCTTTACCCTATGGGCTGGCCATTTTTCCAGCTTTCTTAGAATTTTTTTTTTTAAATAGGAATCACTTTGTAGCCTGATGGTGATTTTTTTTTTCTGTATCTTTTGATTGCTAGGATTATAGTTATAAACAACCACACCTGGCTCTTACTTTGTATTGCTAATTCAATTTCTGTATGTGTCTGCTAGTCTGTCTGCACCATGTTCTTGCAAGCCTACACAGGGGCCAGACAGGAGGGTCAGAGTCTCTGGAACCAGGGTTATATAGGCAGTTGTGAACAGTCTGATAGGAGTACTGGGAATTGAGTGTGGGTCCTCTAGCCGCTCTTTTTTTTTTTTTTTTGGTTTTTCGAGACAGGGTTTCTCTGGGGCTTTGGAGGCTGTCCTGGAACTAGCTCTTGTAGACCAGGCTGGCCTCGAACTCGCAGAGATCCGCCTGCCTCTGCCTCCCGAGTGCTGGGATTAAAGGCGTGCGCCACCAACGCCCGGCTCCTCTAGCCGCTCTTAACTATTGAATAATCTTTGCAGTCTTACTCTTTTTTTTTTTTTTTTTTTTTACTTTGATTTTGTTTTTTAAGACAAGCTGTCCTGGAACTTGATTTGTAGACCAGGCTAGTCCTGAACTCTGGGATCTGCCTGACTCTGCCTCCCAAGTGCTGGGCCTAAATTTGTGTACCACCATTCCTGTTTCAGTCTCTAACTTTTTATTTTAAGACATTTTGCTGAGTTGCTGAGGCTGATGTCAAACTTGTAGTCCTGTCTCTTAGTAGTACCTGGGGTTAGAGTTGTGTATAATGAGACCTAGCACTAATTTGAGCAATGAGAACAGCTGGAGTCTGGCACTTGAGGTGGAGACAAGAAGATTGCCATGAGTTTGAGGCCAATCTGGGGTACATATGGAGACCTTGCCTCAAGAAACAAACAGCAATGAAATTCAAGAATCAGTTTGTAAAACTGAGGGTTTTTTTGTTTGGTTTGGTGGGTTTGGTAAGGGTCACAGCTCAGGCTGACTTTGATGACCATGAACTGTGATTGTACCCAGTTCTATTCAGGCGTGCAAGGCCAGTACTTTACTATCTGAGCTCCAGTCCTAGTTTTTGAATCTGTTTGTAGAAGTTAACTACCAGCAGGTCCATTTTTTTTTTTTTGGTTTTTCGAGACAGGGTTTCTCTGTGGCTTTGGAGGCTGTCCTGGAACTCACTTGGTAGTCCAGGCTGGTCCAGCAGGTCCTTTTTAATTTGAGTGCTACGAGTGAGAATTGATGAGCCATTAACTCCAGGTTTTTTCCAGTTCAGGGTCAGCATTTTTGTGTGTTCATGTGTGTGTGGGCCCAAGGACATCTTACTTATTGTTCTCCTGAAGCTGTGCTAATGTTTGAGTGTTTTTCTTTCATGTATGTTTTATGTACGGTAGGAGCTGAGAATCAAACTCCAGTCCTCTTCAAGAGCTGGAAGTATTTACTCCTCAACAGGTTTGTCTGTGTAGCCTTGGGTGTCATAGAGCTAACTCTGTAGATCAGGCTGTCTTGAGATTCACCTGCCTCTGCCTCCCATCAAATGCATGGGCCACCATGCCTAGGTCCAGTAGCCATTTTAAAAGGCAGGTTCTCTGCTGCCCTGGGAGCCATCAAGCAGGCCCCATGCTCCAGGGTTTCTCCTTTCCCTACTTCATCAGTACTACAATTGCATTCCTGGCTTTTTTTTTTTTTTTTTTTTTCCCCCCCTCGAGACAGGGTTTCTCTGTATTGTTTTGGAGTCTGTCCTGGAATTTGCTGTTTAGACCAGGCTGGCCTCAAACTTACAGAAATCCAGCTGCCTCTGCCTCCTGAGTGCTGGGATTAAAGGCGTGCACCACCAACGCCTGGCTCATTCCTGGCTTTTTTTTTTTTTTTTTTTTATTGTGCATACAGCCTTTTGTCTGCAGGCCAGCATAGGGCATCAGATCACATTACAGATGGTTGTAAACCACTATGTGGATGCTGGGAATTGAATTCAGGACCTCTGGAAGAACAGTCAGTGCTCTTAACCACTGAGCCATCTCTCCAGCCCCCATTCCTGGCTTTTTTAAAGAGGGTTTTAAGGAATTAAACTCAGGTCTTTCCTTTTACCAAATGATCTGTCTTCTGGGATCAATCTTATATATTTCTTTTTATAGGGATCGTCCATTGTATCTTCATGTTCAGGGGCAGACACGGGAGTTAGTAGACAGTAAGTAATTTTTGGTTTATTTGTGACTTGTATGTACAAAACTTGGAAATTCGAAACTATGACAACATCAATGTATAGTCGTTGATGACTGCTTTTTAACTGCCGTTTATGAATTTTATCAGTGGTATATGAGGGTTTAGAGATGAGATTTTTCATATTTATGTAATCTGAAAATTGAATTGAGTTTTATATAATTGAACAGTGGCCTGTGTTTATATGCTAGTCAGTTCATTCTTTGTTATGGTTAGCTTCTGAGCTGTATTTCCAGCCCCCTTGTGTAGAATCTTACTGTCTGTAATTTTCCCTAGGAGCTGTAAACCGAATCAAAGAAATAATCACCAATGGAGTGGTGAAGGCTGCCACAGGGACAAGTCCAACTTTTAATGGTGCAACAGTCACTGTGTATCACCAACCAGCTCCCATTGCTCAACTGTCTCCTGCTATTAACCAGAAGCCTTCCTTCCAGTCAGGAGTAGGTTTGGGCAAGAGGTGTTAGTTCTATAAAAATGAGTATGCAAAATAATACATAATAAGAAAAACAATGCCTAAGTTCCAACCTGAGAATTACATGCTTTTTTATTTTTGTTTATTTATATGTATTTTTTGAGGCAGGGTCTCCTGTAGTTCTGGAGATCTGGGTTCTGCATGCATTAAAAGCATGTAAGCTAGGTTGCTGTTGGTATTTTATAATCTTATGGACTATCTAATACCATCCAAGTAAATGTTTTCAGATTAATAGGATTTAAAAGGGAGGTTGTTGGGTGGTTCAAAGGGTATACAGACTGTGTAGTGTAAAGATAGTGTTTAAATTTGCTTTTGTAAACTGATGGAGGACCAAGAAGGCTGAGTCTGATGAAGCAAGACTTTGCTGATACACTCCTCCTAGACAAAAGGGTGGAGAGAGCAGCCCTTTTTAGAGAAAACCACAGGGCTTACTGTACTACCCAACATTTTCTAGCATTGTCTTTGCTATTTTTTGAAGTTAACATCTATTGAGAAGTGGGTATGCTTACTTAACACTGTATTGTGGTGTTACTCATTTTGCTGACTAGAGTAATTTATTTTGTGGGTGAGGTAGATACGTTAGTATGAAGGATTAGGTTTTGTGGTGCTGGTTTGGCCTAGCAGGGCTTTTGAATTTGCTGGGTAAGTGCTCTTTCCCCTAAGCTGTACTTACAGTTCCAAAAGTTCTTCTCATGCACTCCAGACCAGCTCAGTGACCTTGACTTCTATGCTCCCTCCTCTTCCTGAATGCTAGAATAGGTGCCACCATGCTTGTGTTTTTTAATGCAGTACTGGGGGGCCAAGCTCAGGGCTTCATGCTTGCTTGGCTACCACCCTGCTTGTATATAGTCCAACCCCACAAATTTTAGTCTTTATTAAGATGGGGTCTTAGAGCTGGGGGTGGTGGCATACATCTTTAATACCAACACTTGGGAGGCAGTGACAGGTGGATCTACTGAGTGAATTCCAGAACATCCAGGACTACACAGAGAAAACCTGTGTTGAAAAGAAAAACTAAACTAAAGATAGGGTTTAGGAGTCCCTAGCTATACTTGAACTCACTTCGTAGCAAAAAATGACAAGAAACTTATGATCCCCTGCTTCCACTTCCCATGTCAGAAATTATCACCATGTGCTACCATGTCCTATTTATGTGGTGCTGGGCAAGCATTCTACCAATTAAGCTACATTCTTAGATACCAGAGCCTCCTTGAAAGATGGGCATATGGCACAGGCTTTTTCTAGTTAGTCTCCTGTTGCTATGAGAAACCATAACCAAAAGCTACTGAAAAGAAAGGGTCAGTCTCAGCTTTCATGTTCTGTTCCATCATGGATTGATGCCAAGAGAGAAAGTCAAGCGGGAGCTTGAAGCACAAACCCATGGAGGAACACTGCCTACTGGCTTGTTCAGCTACCTCCCTGCTTTCTTTCCGTCATTGCCTCCCTCTCTCCTTCCCTGCCTCTCCCTTCCTTTCTTATATCTAAAATGTGTTCACTAGGATGGTTCCCACTCATTTTGAATTCAGTGCTGCTTCCTCCTGGAGGAGCACCCTTCTGTGAGCTTGTGTTTCCTCTATGCTGGCAGGACAGTGGAGCAGCCAACACACAAGACTACCGTTTATGCATGGCTAAAGACCGTGGTGATTTGTATCATCCTGGGCATTTCACATCCATAAAGTAGGAATCGGGGCTCTGCACCAGGCACTGCTTCTTGTGTTTCCTCTTCTGGAGAGGGATGAGGGAGAGCCTTTGCGAGAGGCATGTTCTCAATTCACCACCAGGATGCTCAGACCCGATCCCTCCCCCCCACAAGGGTCTTAGTGTGTAGTTCTGGCTGTCCTGGAACTCTGTAGACCAGGCTGGGTTTGAAGTCACAGAGATCACCTGCCTCTGCCTTTCCCAGTGTTGGAATTAAGTTTGCCACTATGGTGAGCTCAGCTATTGTTTTAACACAGCACAGGTCTACCTGCCTAGGGTTAGGCTTTCTGCATCGATTAAGAGAATGTCTCTCTCACAGACGTGACCATAAACAGTCTAATAGAGGCAGTTCTTATTTTGGTTTTCGAGATAGGGTTTCTCTGTAGCTTTGAAGCCTGTCTTGGAACTGGGCTGTAGACCGGGCTGTCCTCAAACTCAAGAAATCCGCCTGCCTCTGCCTCTCGAGTGCTAAGATTAAAGGCATGTGCTACCATTGCCCAGCAATAGAGGCAATTCTTGAATTAAGGTTCCCTCTTCTGAAGTATATCAAATAAACTATTAGCAGCCCCAAGTCTACCCTTGGCCAGCTTGGCATAAAGACACCACTGGTAAACCTCTTTAGGAGGCTGAGGCAAGAGGGTTGAAATTATAAGACCAGCAGGGAATTTCTGAACAACTGAGCTGTAGCAACAGCATGTATCCAAAAGGAAATCTTGGAGATAATGATAAAAATTTTAGAGAATCCATGTGGAAGTAACCTTAAATATACACAGGATTATACTACTTTGTATAATAGTTTTCTACAGCCGGGCGTTGGTGGCGCACGCCTTTAATCCCAGCACTCGGGAGGCAGAGGCAGGCGGATCTCTGTGAGTTCGAGGCCAACCTGGTCTACAAGAGCTAGTTCCAGGACAGCCTCCAAAGCCACAGAGAAACCCTGTCTCGAAAAACCAAAAAAAAAAAAAAAAAAAGTTTTCTACAAGCGTATTTCGTTATTGTTTCTGTATACTAATCAAAGCACTCTTTTCTCTTACAGATGCATTATGTTCAAGATAAATTATTTGTGGGATTAGAACATGCTGTGCCCACTTTTAATGTTAAGGAGAAAGTAGAAGGTCCAGGCTGCTCCTATTTGCAACATATTCAGATTGAAACAGGTGCCAAAGTCTTCCTACGAGGCAAAGGTTCAGGCTGCATTGAGCCAGCATCAGGCCGAGAAGCTTTTGAGCCTATGTATATTTATATCAGGTACGGATAAGAGCAGGGGACCTACAAATCTTTCTCAGTACAGGCTGAGAGAAAGTAGACTTAACTGTGAAATCCTGGTGTGGAGGTGAAAGCCTATAATGATTGTCCTCTGATGTGGGAATAGGAGTTCTCAAGAATTCCAAGGTCATCATTGTGAATGTGAGCACTTTGAGGCCTACATAGGACCCTGGAAAGTCTCCCTCAAAAAAAAAAAAAAAAAAAACAGCAACAATACCCACAAACCCAAAACCTACATGAAGGATAATAAGCTTAGAATGACGGCTTTATAATTAGTTACTAAAAATTCTTGAATTATTGAAGCTGGGAAGATGGTTCCCAGTTATGAGCACTTGCTGTTCTTCCAGAGGATGTGGGTTTTGTTCCAGCCTTTGGCCTCTGAAGACACCTATACATCAGCATACATGCTGGTTTTTTGTGTTTGCAACAGCTCTGGCTACCCTCAGTGCTGGGATTAAAGGTATGGGCCACAACCACCCAACATACCTGCATATAATTGAAAATAATAAATATGGGCTGGGAGATGGCTCAGAGGTTAAGAGCACTGGTTGCTTTTCCAGAGGTCCTGAGTTCAATTCCCAGCATCCACATAGTGGTTTACAACCATCTATAATGTGATCTGGTGCTCTCTTCTGGTGTGCAGGAATACATGCAGGCAAAAGCCTGTATACATAATAAATAAATCTTTAAAAAAAATATTTTAAGAATTAAGAAAAGCTTGGGTTGATTCGAGGCCGGGCTGGACCGACAGCCTCCAAAACAATACAGAGAAACCCTGTCTCATAAAAACCAAAAAGAAAAAAGAAAAAGAAAAAAAAAAGGAAAGCTTGGGTTGGTTCAGCAGTTAAGAACACTTAATGTTAACCGGTCGTTGGTGGCGCACGCCTTTAATCCCAGCACTCGGGAGGCAGAGACAGGCAGATCACTGTGAGTTCGAGACCAGCCTGGTCTACCGAGTGAGTTCCAGGACAGCCTCCAAAACAATACAGAGAAACCCTGTTTCGAAAACCAAAAAAAAAAAAAAAAAAAAAAAAAAACACTTAATGTTCTAGAAGACATGTGTTTGATTCCCAACACCTAAACGGTGGCTCATAACAGTCTGTGACTCTAGTCCCAAGGGATCCAGCAACATCTTGGCTTCCACAGGCAATTCACACATTTAGCACAAAGATCTATGTGGAAAAAACAGTGATATATAAATTAAAAATAAAATAAAATTTAAAAAGGTGAGCCGGGCGTTGGTGGCGCACGCCTTTAATCCCAGCACTTGGGAGGCAGAGGCAGGCGGATCTCTGTGAGTTCGAGGCCAGCCTGGTCTACAAGAGCTAGTTCCAAGACAGCCTCCAAAGCCACAGAGAAACCCTGTTTCGAAAAATCAAAAAAAAAAGTTTAAAAGAGTGAACTAGAAGGATTAATGTGGGTTGGGTGGTAGTGGTGCACGACTTTAATCCCAGCACTCAGGAGGTAGAGGTAGGCACTTTGTTTTTTATGTGAGTTTGAGGCCAGTTTGATCTACAGTATGAGTTCCAGAACAGCCAGGATTACATAGAGAAACCTTGTCTCAAAAAAAAAAAAAAGTTGTGGCTTTAGCATCCAAGTCTTTAGGTTCTAGTATTCTGTGATTATAAAATAAACTTTGGTGGTGGTCTAGGGCTTCTTAGGTGTTAGGCAAGCACTGTGCTACTGTACTGCCTCTCAGACCAAGCCTGTAATTGTTTCTTTACTGATGTTTCTATGCTATTTGCTGGGGATAGGGCTGCAGTAGTATTTTTCAGACAGGATCTCTCTGCATAGCCCTGGCTGACCTAGCTTGGTCTTGAATTCATAGAGATCAGCCTGTCTCTGTCTCCAGAGTGCTGGGATTGCAAGAGTGCACCACCACAATACTATTGCTATTATGTATTATGAGGTTTTTTCTCTTTTTGAGGGCCTGACACCCAGCTCCCAAATGAATCCCACATGGAGGCTTATTTGTTAGGAATCCCACATGGAGGCTTATTTGTTAGGAATGTCCTGCCTTAACTTGGCTTGTTGCTAATCAGCTCTTTTTTTAACTTTAATTATCAGTCTGTGGGCTTTTCCTGTTCTTTTACTTTTTTAAATCTTACTCTGTGAGTTACATTGTAGCTAGGTGACTTGACTCCTGACGCCATCCTTTCCTTGTTCTCTTTTTTTCTTTTTTCTTTTTTCTTTTCTTTTTTTCTTTTCTTTTCTTTTTTTTTTTTTTTTGGTTTTTCGAGACAGGGTTTCTCTGTATTGTTTTGGAGGCTGTCCTGGAACTCACTCTGTAGACCAGGCTGGCCTCGAACTCACAGAGATCCGCCTGCCCCTGCCTCCCGAATGCGGGGATTAAAGGCGTGCGCCATCAACACCCGGTGACTTTCCTTGTTCTCTTGCTCCTCTGTTTTTCCTTCCTTTTATACTCTGCCTGCCTGGCTATTGGCTGTTAAGCTCTTTACTATACCATCAAGTGTTTTATATAGGCAAAGAATCACAGCTTCACAGAGTGAAGCAAATGCAGCATGAGCAAAAGTCACACCTTAGAATAATATTCTACAAAAATTTTATTTTAGTATTTGGATAGGGTTTCATGTAGACTGTTCTGATCTTGAATTCCTTATGTAGTCCAGGGTAGCTTTGAATTTTTGATCTTCCTGTCTCTTATCTTTTAAGTGGTGAGATTTTGAGTGATATCAGAATCAGTTCCTCTCTTCCCCCTCCTCCTTTCTGTTTTATATTTTGTGTTTAAATGTTTTGCCTACTCGTATGTATGTATACTTTGCACCTGGTGCAGGAGGAGTCCAGAATCACCTGGAACAGGAGTTACAGACAGTTGTGAACTATCATGTGGGTGCTGGGAATCAAACCCAGGTCCTGTGGAAAAGCAGTAACTTCTTAACTGCTAAAACATTTCTCTAATCCTCTATTGTCTCTTTATGTCAAAAGGTACCATTATCTGAGACGGGGTACTATAAAATACATGTAGCAATGGTATATTAGTTATAACATGAAAGACTTATGTTGCTAACCCGGTGTGGTGGCAAATCTGTTTACTACTAGCACTTGGGATGCAGAGGCTAACCTGATTTATATGGTTCCAGGATAGCCAGAGCTACATAGTGAGACCCTGTCTCAACACAACAAGAAGAACAAAAAAACCCAAAAAAGAACTTATGTTTGTGTTCCTATTAAATGACTTCAGAGGCTAGATATGAACTATAGTGAATATGCTAAAATAAGTGTGTACAACAGCATAAAAAGAGAAAATAAGACTTATTTTTTGCGCTTTTCATTTTGTGGTTTATTCTTTATTTGTAGTCATCCCAAACCTGAAGGCCTGGCTGCTGCCAAGAAACTCTGTGAGAATCTCTTACAGACAGTAAGTGTGTGTATGTGTGTGTGGGGGGGGGCCTGGGGATTGAAGTCAAGGTGCCTTGTATACAGTTATGGACTCTAGCACTGACCTGTAACCAGCCCCTCCTGGACATGGTCTTTAAAAAAAATTAAGATATATTACAGTTGCATTAAATTGTAATTAAGCTAAGCTAAAACTTAACTGTGAGCTGGGCTGTGGTAGCACATGCCTTTAATCCTAGCACTCCAGAGGCAGAGGCAGAGGCAGGAGGATCTCTGTAAGTTCAAGACCAGTGTGGTCTACAAAGAGAGTTCTAGGACAGCTAGAAAACCTGTCTCGAAAGCAAAACAAAACAACAACAACAACAAAAAAAACAACTGTAATGAGTATTCTGGAGCACATGATATGATAGAGGAAGTCTACATTACATACAGTGGCGCTGACTGTACTGGCTAATTTGATGTCAGCTTCACCATAGGTAGAGTCACCAAGGAGGTTTTCTCTAAGATTTGGCCGTAGGATTGTGTGGGTCCAGGCCATTGTGGGTGGTGCCATCCCTGGGCTGTTGGTCTTGGGTTCTAAAAGAAAACAGGTTGAGCAAACCATGAGGAGAAATTCAGTAAGCAGCACCCCTTCATGGCCTCTGTATCAGCTCCCGCCCCCAGGTTACTGTCCTGTCTTCCTTTGGTGAACAGTGATATGGAAGTGTAAGCCAAATAAACTCCTCCCCAAGTTTCTTTTTTGGTCATAGTGTTTCACATCACAATAGAAATCCATAATGAAGACACTGACCATGGCAGTTATTTAACATGGAATGTTAGACTAGCGTCTTTCATTATACAAACTATGTAGGTAATGAGCATAAAGAGAAGTATGATAACAATGATTTCACTAGTCTTTGACAGTTAAGAAAATGTACTTAAGTTAGCCAGGTGTGTTGGCACAAGTTTCTCAACACAGTACTCAGGAAGTAGATGCAGACAGATTTGTGTGCTCTGGTCTCCATAGCAAGTTCCAAGCTATCCCGGGTTGCATAGTGAGAACCTGTCTCATAATAAAACACCCAACAAAACAAAATGTACTTGAAGAAACTGGTAGATATCTTTACCAAATCATGTACATATGTTAGTTACTTGTGGACTTAAACTTATTTCAGCCTCTCTTGCATTCCAAACAAACTCTTAGTGAAAATATGAAGGGGCTGAATAGATGACTTTGACGTTAAGACCACCTATGTCCTTGAAAAGGACACAGGTTCCATACTGACAACCACATGGTGGCTCAAAAGCATCTGTAGTCATGAACATGGTGCACATATATGCAGGCAAAGTAACTTACACATAAAAGAAATCTTAAAAAAATACCCAAAACAGCAAAACTGATGCTTACATCAAAAGACTATCAAGCTTATGAAATGACTAAGTTTGGAATAACTTGTTACATCAGAATTTTATATACACTGGTGTGCTCTAGGCATTCATTCTAGATCTTTCATATTAATGACTAAAAGCTATTTACAATACTAAAATAATCAGATGTTTCAGTCACACTGCTTTGCTGAACCTGTAGTTTACCAGCTTGCCTAGACTTCATACCTGTCACTTGTTCCCTGCCAGTACTGGGCGAATACATACTTGAATATGGCAATACTTGATTTATTTTTAACTTTTATTTTTTAATCTGAGTGCTAGGTTGTCTAACCTCTGTCCCCAGTGTTTGCATAGCAAGCATTCTTACCCATAGAGCTGTTTCTCCAGCACCTAATTCTTTTTACTCTAAACAAATAGCACCCAACACAGAGAGACAGACAGACAGACAGACATTAATTGTGCAAATACAAAGAACTAGTTGGGAAAAAAATACTTTTTTGCTTTCCCGAGACAGGGTTTCTCGGTGTATAGCCCTGGTTATCCTAGAACTCACTCTGTAGACCAGGCTGGCCTTGAACTCACAGTGATTTGCCTGCCTCTGCCTCCTGAGTGCTTGAATTAAAGGTGTATGCCACCACTGGCCAGACTTAATTCTTATTTATATGGAAGTTGCGTGAAGCCACATTTCCTAGTAAAAAAGTGATAAGTGAATGATTTATTTTACTTTTGAGACAGGGTCTCACTATCCCTGGCTGGCTTTAAGGCTATGTAGATCAGGCTGGGCCTGAGCTCACAGAGATTTTTCTGCCTCTGTCTCCTCAGTCCTGGATTAAAGGCATGCACACCTGGCAATAAATGAATTCTCATTTATGTTAGTAACTGGGAATTGTCTTTATTTCTCTAATTCTATAGCTTTCTGAATGACCATGCCCCAGAATTGAGTAGTTTCGGCGTTTAGGATTGTGTTACCTGCTGGTATACAGAACTTATTAGTTCCCTTAATTCACATTTAAATCAGAGCATGGGGAAATAGTTTAATTCATGATTGCTTTGGTTTTATTATATAATCATACCCCTATAAATATGACACTTGACTGGTCTTTATTAACCTCTTTTCCCCGTTTTTCTAGGTTCATGCTGAATATTCTAGATTTGTGAATCAAATTAATACTGCTGTACCTTTACCAGGTGTGTATGGCTGAAAGTGTTAAAATATTGTGGTAATGAGACTTATGGTTAAGTGTGTTTCTTGAGGCTAGACTGGTTGTGCCAGGGCACTGGTGGTGGTCCCTTCAACTTAGGGTAATTTAGAAAGCCATTGATGCCTCAGTGTTTATCCTCCTAGGTGTTGTTTAATAATCAGGTAAAATGTTTCATTCTGCTGCAGCTGATTAAACACTTTTTTTCTTCCCCCCTCAGGCTATACACAACCCTCTGCTATAAGTAGTATCCCTCCTCAACCACCATATTATCCATCCAATGGCTATCAGTCTGGTTACCCTGTTGTTCCCCCTCCTCAGCAGCCAGTTCAGCCTCCCTATGGAGTACCAAGCATAGTGCCACCAGCTGTCTCACTGGCACCTGGAGTCTTGCCAGCATTACCTACTGGAGTCCCACCTGTGCCAACCCAATATCCGATAACACAAGTGCAACCTCCAGCTAGCACTGGACAGGTAGGTTGCCAGCATGTGCAATATGATATTGTTGAACTTGGGAAAAACAGGAAGGAAGGTGCTTTCTAGAAGTCAGTCCTTTTCTATATTTTGCCCCTACACCAACTTACTGAGGACCTTGGGATAATACATGTATGTGCCATCCTTAGTTTTCACAGTTTTTTTTGTTGTTTGTTTTTTGTTTTTGTTATTTTTGGGGTGGGTCTTATGAGACAGGGTTTCTCTGTATTGTTTTGGAGGCTGTCACCAGCCTGGCCTCGAACTCACAGAGATCCACCTGCCTCTGCCTCCTGAGTGCTGGGATTAAAGGCGTGCACCACCACCGCCCTCGTAGTTTTCACAGTTTTTAATTAGCTTCACAAGTCTTGCCCCCAGATAGCTGTTTCAAGTGGGGGTCATAGGCAGACTATAACACATTCAGTGATAAATGTTTTAAGATTGTGGGGGCTGTATGATGTGTTACAAGTACTCTTGTTGCTGTATAAAAGCTGTAGGAAATACCTACTGAGTATGACTTCATTCTTTAATTATGGTATGAGTAGCAGGTCAGAGTTAGCTCCTTGCCCTTGGCTTTATGATCTAAAGTTCTCAAGGTCAAAGAACACTTGGGAGGCAGAAGCAGGTGGATCTCTTCGAAATCCAGGACTACGTAGTGAAACCCTGTACCAAAAAAAAAGTTAAATTCAGGTTTTGTGCCATATGCTCATGATTTCAGTGTTGGAATGGCCAAGGCAGGTCAATCTTAGGGTCCTTTGGCCAATTTAGCTTACTTGGGAAGTTTCAGGTTAGCAAGAGACTATGTATAAAACAAGCAAAAACCAGGTAGAGGCTTGAGAGCAGGCTCCGTGGTTAGGATTGCTTTCAGTTCCTGTAGAGCCCCCACACTAGGCAGCTCACCTGTAATCCAGTTCCAGGGGGTTTTAGCCTCTTCCTACCTTGTGTGTGTGGCTTGAGAGATGGATTTGTCTGTGAGTGCAGGTGCCTGTAAAGGCTATTTGAGGGTCTTACTGTGTAGCTCTGACTAGCTCTGTAGACCAGGCTGGCCTTAAACTCACAGAGCTCCACCTGCTTCTGCCTCTGAGTGCTGTAGAGTGCACAGTTTACAGAAAACACTCTGGAATTGTTAAACTAGGAAGACAGCTGCATGTTGCCAGTCTTCCTCATCCAGGAGGCTGTGAATGATACCTGGTCGTCTTCTGCTTTTCTATGGAGCCAGGTTTCTGAATTCACCCCAAATCCTGAGCAATCCTCTGAGTCAGTAGAACCCATTTAATGCTTGTTACTAATCCAGACTTTTATCCTGAACATCGCTCCTCTGTCAATAGAACCCAAAGCTTTGTTGTCACCTGGAAACTTTTCACTGTGTTTAAATGTGTGACTTGTAAATTGCTAAAGATAATTAAGACATGCAAGTTAATGGTCAGTGATCTACAAATGCTCAGATTTTTCAGTGTGCTCAAAACTGTCATGCTAAGTACAAATTAATTCATTTAGTAGTGCGAGCAAGCTTTATATTATAAGCAAGTAACTAAAAGCAGCTAGTTTGTTTAAAATCAGGTATACTTAATAGATGGTTCTCAAAATCTTCAGAAATATGTGTCACATGACAAAGTGTTTAGTGATTGATACAAAGCTTACTATAGCTTTATCAGATTAGCAGTAGCAAAATAAGTTTTATCTTTATTACTGAAACTTCCTCTTTAAAATTTATTGTACAGCTTAAGAAATTGAATAATAAAGTTGTAAACAGACTAAAAGTAAATTTAAAAAATAAATAGGAGTAAATTAAAATCCAAAAGATTTTTCAAATTGTTTCTTATAAATAAATAATGATCTAAAAAGGCAACATAATGGCGTACAAATAGACTTTGAGTGCCCATGCCACAATATGGGAGGCTCTCTCAGCTGGGACTCTTGGGGGAGGGCCTAGGCCCTGCCCTGGATGAAATGACATACTGGAGATCCACCATGGAGGGCCTCACCCTCCTTGGGGATCTGAGTGGAGATTGGGTGGGGGACTGGGGGACCTGGTGGGGAGGGTGAGGGAGAGGAGCTGGGATTGACATGTGATTGTTTCTAGCCTAAATAAAAAAGTAATAATAATTTTTTAAAAAGGCAACATAATTATTTGTTTCTCAAATTCCCTTGGAGTCCAAAAAGGAGTTAAACCAAAAATACATTCAATAGAAATTAGATTATTTGAAAGTTTCCTCCTAAAATCATGTTTTGGTAAGCCTAAAAATCTTTTACAACAGACTGTCTACTAAGTATAGTTAGAAACTAAAGTTTTCTAACAAATTCTTCCTCAGTGAAACTGTTAGGCTTCAATATTATTCATATTTTTATTTCATTACAGTATTGGCTAGACATGTATGCTTGTATAGTAAAACTCCATTGTTTTCTCTGACTATTTCTCAGGTACTTTTTTTTTCCTCTGAGACATGGCTTCCCTGTGTACCTTTAGAGCCTGTCTTGAGTCATCAGTGCCCATCTTTGTGGAAGAAGCCATATGTACTTAGTAGAGTTTCAGTGAAAACATGTCTTAAGCTCTATTGCACTCATGGGATTGAGTTAATTGTCATCAGGAAACTCCCAAAACTGCTGTGCTTGAATCTGGCTAAAATATACTTGCTAACTAAGTCAAGCTGGATCATGTTTCATTCTTACATCACACAGATTGTTTCCCTGACATCCTTGACTTGCAGGGATCCCCACATTCCACTTTAAAGATTAATGCTTTTTCTTCTCCACAAAAGCATTTTTCCCTAAAGGAAACACATCCTAACATATATGTTAAATAGAGACTAATCAGTGGAAGGCCCTAATGTTCTTTTAACATCAGAGATAAATTGTGTTTTTCCAGAAAGTCTAAGATGGCTCCCATTTCAGTCCATCCACCCAGGACAGTACCCCAGAGTCGCCTAGACAACTGAAACATGGAAACCCCATCAAGAGGAATTGCCCCAAGAGAAAGAAAAAGACTCTAATTTAGCAAGCTAAGACTTTCGGGAAATAGCAAGGATATACTACTACTGACCCCCCCCCCCCCCCAAAAAGCGATGCTGTTATGTTTACCCACTGTATTGCATGTTAACTCTCAGCTTGCCAGTGCAGAATCCAAAAGCCTTTTGTCAGGGATGTCAGAACACTGTCCAAGAGTAGTGTCATGTGAGGAATCTTCTTGGATTATGCTTTCTTGACACTTCCAGGTTTATTTGATAGGAGTGAGTCTACCTCAGATTATTCTTTACAACTTGCTATTGTTATTTGTTTATATGCCTCTATGTATGGCTTGCCCTTGTTTTTTTTTTAAGATTTATTTATTACATATACATGCCAGAGGAGGGCACCAGATTGAATTATAGATGTTTGTGAGCCACCATGTGGTTGCTGGGAATTGAACTCAGGACCTCTGGTAGATCAGTCAGTGCTCTTTTTTTTTTTTTTTTTTGGTTTTTTACAAGACAGGGTTTCTCTGTATTGTTTCGGAGGCTATCAGTCCAGCCCGGCCTCGAACTCACAGAGATCCGCCTGCCTCTGCCTCCCTAGTGCTGGGATTAAAGGCGTGCGACACCACCGCCCGGCCTTAGTCAGTGCTCTTAACCTCTGAGCCATCTCTCCAGCCCATGGCTTGCCCTTGTGATTGTACACTTTACTACTGTGACCCCTCTTGACCCTATGTAATGCTCTGGATAGAGATGGCTGTTGCGTGAGATTTTAGTCCACCTCATTTCTAGGCTCCATTCTTCTAGATCCCATTGCCTTTAGAGTGGTAAACAAGAGACACCGCAATAGGGACCTGAAGTAAGCTATGAGATAAGAAAGCTGTCCTCTAAGCAGTAGGTGAGAATAATGAGGCAGAAACCAGGGAAACCTTTTCTTTTTTTCTTTTTTGAGACAGGGTTTCTCTGTATTGTTTTGGAGGCTGTCCTGGAACTCGTTCTGTAGACCAGGCTGGTCTCAAACTCGCAGAGATCTGCCTGCCTCTGCCTCCCGAGAGCTGGGATTAAAGGCTGCCCACTGTCTGGCTCCCTCTGCTCCCTTACTGGAGCCTCCTTTAGATAGGCATCCTCCATTGCCTGAATATGACCTTGAAGCATGTGGTGAGGTATTTGGTAATCTAATCTTAAATTCACTTCTCTTCCTAATGAGGATTTTGGAGAACCTATGAAAATGCTAAATTTACAACCTCGGCAAGCTAGGGCACAAAAAACATTTCTCCTCCTCCATGGCCTCATGTCCTGCACTTGGTATTTTCTATGCACTAAACAATCTATTTAAAAGTATAGAAGGAAAGTCAGCATTGTATAGTCCTCATGTATTATCTTGGGAGAGAAGACTATTATATGGATTTGATCTTTCTGTATTATATTACCTTTAACTGACAATCAATTTTTTAAGAGCGATATGGATTTTCAAATTTGATTTGCAGATTACTATGGAAGGATAGAAAAATCATTATCCAGCTGATAAGCTCTGCGATTTTTCTTATGGAAACTTGACTTTGTGATTACAAAAATTGTCTAACCTTCCTACCATTCCACAGGCAAATAGTTTTATTGTTGATAGTTCACCTAAGGGAATAGGAAGGATCCATTGTCCTAATACTTATTGATCTATTAATACTTTTTGCTCAGCTCAACAGGAACTGGCTGTTTTGTATTATGTATTATGCTTATTTCTTTTTTTGGTTTTTCGAGGCTGGGTTTCTCTGTATTGTTTTGGAGGCTGTCCTGGAACTCGCTCAGAGGACCAGGCTGGCCTGGAACTCACAGAGATCTGCCTGCCTCTGCCTCCTGAGTGCTGGAATTAAAGGCATGTGCTGCCACCACCCGGCAGTATTATGGTTATTTCACAAACCCTTAAATATCTTTTCACTACTGTTTATGTTGTAGGATTATTGCCAGCAATAGACTTACACATGTGTACACTCTAACCTGCCTGGTTTCATTGCAGAAAGAAATAAGCAAGCTGATGCATTAACCTGCCCTTTTCTTTTCTTCAGAAGAAAATTGGGAAGCGGTGTTTGTCTGTTATTGCAGATGGTTCCAGTGAAGCAGTATAGATTCCTCTTCTGCTCATCTGGCCCTGGCCATTAGGAACAAGGCAGAGGGCGAGGAGGCAATGGAAGTGACCAGAAAGATAGCAAATCTCCAGATAAAGGGCAAAAGGAGATATCAAACATATCAGAAGTTACCTGGGGCCACATTAAGGCCCTGTGCACCAAGGGAGAACTTGTTCTCACCTGACAGTCTTTTCTAGTGATGCTAGTGTTTTGACCTGTGCATCTGCTGCTCATCCTCCTTTGCTTCTACTTGTAGATTGGATGGATTCAGGTCCTATCATTTTCACTAATGAGTCTGTGTTTGGGACTGGACCTTGGAACTGTAATAGACTCATTTATCCATCTGAAGAAGGGACTGCCTTTAATTTTTACATAGGATTTGAATCGCTTCACATTTGTGTAGGACATTATAACATCTGTATTCCTATTAAAGGCAAAGAGGTGCTTATGTTCCACAAGATACAAGAACTACTAATCATATGGTCTCTTTTTTAAGATTTTTTTCTAGATTTTTGTGGCCAATATAATGATGTAACCAATAACTAAACATAGGTTAGATCCCTGTTCTTACTGGCAAAGTGTCACATAGAAATTGTACTGTTCTAATGATAATCATTATGCTTGCTTATAGTATACTCAGCATCGAATGACACTGGATTTCCTGCTAGTAGAAAATAAAAGGGGCTGGGCAGTGGTGGTGCACTGCACACCTTTATCCCAGCACTTAGTAGGCAGAGGCAGGTAGATTTCTATGAGTTCAAGGCCAGCCTGATCTGTAGAGTGAGTTACAGAACAGCCAGGCAGGACTGTTAACACAGAGAAAACCTGTCTTAAAAACCAAAAAGTAAAATAAAAAGGACTAGGCAGTGGTGGCTAATGCCTTTATTCCCAGTACTTGGTAGGCAGAAGCTGGTGGGTCTCCAGCTTCAGAGTCCATCCTGGTCCACATAGTGAGTTCCAGGATAGCCAAGGAAACACAGAGAACAAACAAAAAAGTAGAAAATAGGCTGGGAACTAGCACTTGGGAGGCAGAAGTAGTCAGATCTCTGAGAATTTGAGGCCAGCCTAATCTTCAAAGTGAGTTCCAGGACAGCCAGGGCTGTTACACAGAGAGACTCTGTCTCGAAAAAACAAACAAGAATACAGTCCAACCCCACCCCCCAAATTGAATGTGGGGGAGATGTTTGAACACCGTTTAAGAATGGAATTGTGTCAAGGATTTCTGAGTGCTTGTGAGAACACTCCCAAGAAACGAAGACGGGTCTTGTAACTTTAGTTTCTTCAGAAACAAGTAATTGTTCTAGATTGTGCTTTCATTCTCCTCCCAGGTGTAAAGGATAGGAGTCAGTTTGATTCAAACTATTTATTTTGGGGCGGGTGGGGGGTGGATTTAGTTATTTGTCATGTATACAGTGCTCTATCTGCATGTATGCCTGCATGACAGAAGAGGCATCAGATCTCATTATAGATGGTTATGAGCCACCATGTGGTTGCTGGGAATGGAACTTGGGACCTCTGGAAGAGCAGTCATTGCTCTTTACCTCTGAGCCATCTCTCCAAGCCCAGATTATTTATTTCAACTGGCTATTGTTATTTGTTTATATGCCTCCATGGAAAAAATGTTTTGCCACGCAAGGCTTGTCTGTCATATGCACCTTGTCCTTGTGACTGTACACTTTACTCATGTGACTCCTTCTAACCCTTAGTATGAATTATCTGATGCTCTGAATTAAGTGGGTTGTTGCATGAGATTTAGTCTGCTTTATCATATCCATTTTCCCAGGTCCCACTGCCCCTAGTGCATTAAAGCAAGGGGTGGGGATGGGCGATGGGATAAAGTTTTGCCATGCTAAGCATTTTCTTTATCCTTTAGGGCAAGTTGTCTGGATAAAAGATGGCATATACAAATATTTAATCACTTAAATGGGCAATATTTGGTTGGACTATCTAATCAATCCAAACACAATAATATGGATTTTAGCACAATTAAGTACTCTTTTATATGTTCTGATAATGGGCTGTGTGGGGTGGCACAAGCCTTTAATTCTAGCACTCGAGAGGCAGAAGCTGGCAGATCTCTGAAATTGAGGCCAGCCTGCTTTAAAGAATGAGTTTTAGGCCAGCCAGAGCTGTTACACAGAGAAACTCTATCTTGGGGAGAAGGCATTCTGATAATGGAAATAATAGTTGTGTAAAGATGAAAAATGGAATACCTGATGTATTGATTATCAAAGTTGATATTATCATATCTAGAATAATACTGTCTATTGTCAATGGTTTAGAAAAATAACATCTGCACAGACAACAATCTGCAAAGAAATCCTGTCTGCAAAAAAAAAAAAAAAAAAGGAAAGGAAAAGAAAGGAAAAATTAATAACCTTCGGCTTTAGTGGACACATGGCGATCAAGAAAATCTTTGTCAAAGATTATCTATGTATTCTTGTATTCTTTTTGGGTTATTTTCAAGACAGGATTTCTCTGTGTAGCTTTGGAGGCTGTCCTGGCGCTCGCTCTGTAGACCAGATTAGCTTCTAACTCACAAAGATCCGCCTGCCTCTGCCTCCCGAGTGCTGGGATTAAAGGCGTGCGCCACCACCACCCGGCTTATTCTTATATTCTTAAAAAGAAGTTTATATGACGTAGCAGTCACTCATAAGCACTGTGCACATATAGCAGAGGGACAAGTAGACCCCCCAGCTCTGTAGTTTCATTCTTAACCTCACACACTTGGTTTCCCTGCTGGCTGGCCACTTGTCCCCAGTTCATTATGTGTTGATGAGTTTGCCCCATCTCTTAAATGTTGCTCCCGGAGACAGACCATATTGTTACTGTTTTGTTTTTCCTGTTATGGAGAAACGAGGTTGTGAGAAGTTAGTTAATGGTTTTGGGGATATGATAATGAGGTAAAATCTTAAACACAAGCCTGTGACAATTTTAGAGTCCAATTTTATCTGCTAGAGTAGTTCAGTCATAGAGTCAGTATTTGGCCTTGGTTCTAATCCCCTGTACCATTAATAAAATAGAATTTTAGGAAAAGATTAGATGTCTAGCTTATCTGTATGTGTTATCGGCAATCCTCAGTGGTTAGGGAAAGACTGAATTGGATCATGGGATCCTTCCATGTGGGCTCCTCAGAGTGAACCCATGCCAAAATTATCTACAATCTTAAACCATTTCCACAGGTGGGCTATGAGGACTGGAGAAGAGCATTAGTGGCTGACTAGGGAAGGGAAGGGCCTCAGTTTGCATTCTAGGATTCAGGCATTTCTACACATACCTGTAACCCCAGGAGGTAGGGACATGAAGGATCCTGTTGACTTCCTTCTAGGCCAGAAAGTCATTTTCAGGTTCAAAGAGCTATCGTGCTTCGGAGGAATTGATAGTTGGAAAGCACGAGACACTGGATGCCCCCTCTGGCCTCCATATGTGTACACATGTGCATATATGCCACACAAACACAAAATTTAAAGAGACTTATAAACTAAGATCTGATTATAATCACTAATCAATACTATTTTACAATTTTGATAGGGTCTTTATATATCCTTGGCTATCCTAGAACTTGTTCTATAGACCAGACCTTGACCATACAAGATGTGCCCGAGATTAAAGTGCATGTACTGTCACGCCCAGCTTTTTACTCTTTTGAGATCATTTTATGTTTTTGAGTGCTTTGCGTGCATGTTTGTATATATGTGTATGCCCTTTGTGTGCCTGGTGCCTGAAGACACTAGAACAGGGCTTTAGATCACCTGGAACCAGAGTTAGACAGTCGTGAGTTACAATGTGGGTGGTGGGAGCTGAACCAAGGTCCTCAGCAGTACAAGCCACTGCTTTCTCTTAACTGCTGAGCCATCTCTCTAGCCCCAGGCTGTTTTACTTTTTATGCTTTTTGTTGTTGTTGTTGTTATTGTTTGTTTGTTTGTTTGTTTTTTTCCGAGGCAGGTTTCTCTGTATTGTTTTGGAGGCTGTCCTGGAACTCACTCTGTAGACCAGGCTGGTCTTGAACTCACAGAGATCTGCCTGCCTCTGCCTCCCGAGTGCTGGGATTAAAGGCGTGCACCACCAACGCCCGGCTACTTTTTATGCTTAAGGCATCCAACATTCCTCAGCTTTGCGTTATATATAGCTCTTTATATTTAAGATGCAAAATGGCATAGTGGATGAAGCTCTGTGGTCTTGGAGTCTAATTTGCTGCACAAAATTTCTGGATTTTCCTATATAAAGGGGCACATAATGGTAGGATTTCAAAGGATATAAAGTAGGTGAATCCATGTGTTTCTAAGTAATGGAAGTTTTCTTTGAGGAGGCATGCTTGTTTTTCTTGCTTTGGAACTGTTTAGCAACTAGTGTATGTTCTCCTAGTGCACCAAATATATGACAGATTCAGCCTGAGAATCAGAGCATTCATTCACATTGGTAGTCAGTTCTGGGAGGGTGGGAATGCCAGAGTCCTGAAGCTTGCTGCCTGTTCAGATCTGTTGTCAGCATTATTTATTCATCTAGCATCTCATGCTGTATTCCTCCTTGGTTCCTTTGTTCCTAGAGTCCAATGAGTGCTCCTTTTATTCCTGCTGCTCCTGTCAAAACTGCCTTGCCTGCTGGCCCCCAGCCCCAGCCCCCACTCCCGACTCAGCCCCAATCACAGAAGAGGCGATTCACAGAGGAGCTGCCTGATGAACGGGAATCTGGACTGCTTGGATACCAGGTTAAATAAATACCCAGTCTCCCTGTCTTTATCTTGCCTCCTGTATTCTCCCGTTAAGTAAGAGTTTGCATCCATATCAGCTGTCTTATGGGATAGGAGTTTTGCTTCTGGAGTCAGGTTAGGATTTTATTCCTGAGGGATTAATTTAAAGCAAGAGTGATTCTCCTTTGTCATTTTTTTGTTTTTAAGGACAGTGTGATAAGAAAACAATGTACAGGGAAGTCTTATGTGACCAACAATCAGGAGTTGTGTTAAAATTTCATGCATTTTCTTTTTTAAGACAACATTCTTGAAAGCCACTCACCCAAAGTTGTCAATCTTCAAATTTATGATTTTTTTTTTTTCTCCTTGAGACAGGGTTTCTCTGTAACAGCTCTGACTATCCTGGAACTCGCTCTGTAGACCAGGCTGGCCTCGAACTCACAGAGATTCTCCTGCCTCTGCCTCCTGAGTGCTGGGACTAAAGGCGTGCACCACCAATGCCCTAGCACATTTACACATTTGTATGGAGGACGGGGGACTATTTGGGAGAAGTCAACTCCTTCCATGATTTTTATTTAACTGTGGCTTTCAATTTGCTGTTCTCTTTGCCCCCTTTTTTAAAAAGTGGGGAAGGGGGCTGGTGAAATGGCTCACAACCATCTGTAATGAGATCTGGTGCCCTCTTCTGGCCTGCAGGGACACATAATAAATTTTTGAAAAGAGGGGAGAGCATTTCTCTACCCTGTTCCCCCACACTAGGAAAAACTGTCAAAACTGGAGTGATAACACATTATGAACATAGTCATTGACAAGATGATTTAGAGGACATATAGTTCAATGGTAGAGAGTGTAGTGCATGCACAAGGCCCTGGGTTTAATCCCCAGTACCAGGAAAAATGAGAATAGTTTTGTTGCTATTTCATAAGAAGAGGAACCTTTTATGTTTTTATCACAGTCCTCAAGGCATCTTCAGACCAAAATCTTTTGCAGTTAATGTCACTGGGTGTTCAGAAGCCATTGGATTTAGAGCAGTTGGTTAAACACCTTCCCCAGGACTAAATTCTACAGAAGCAGGAACCCCTGCTTGACTAGTTATTTTCCCAAATCCCAAAGAACATGTAATGCCATGTAACTAATGGCAGTTATCAGAAAGTTGAGGCACTTGACAGTTACATTAAGGAGCTAAAGACAATGCAGCAGTTGTAGATTTGCTAATGCTACTGTATTTTTCTGCTCATAGCATGGACCCATTCATATGACTAATTTAGGTACAGGCTTCTCCAGTCAGAATGAGATAGAAGGCGCAGGATCGAAGCCAGCAAGTTCCTCAGGCAAAGAGCGAGAGAGGGACAGGTAAGTTAATTGGAATAGAACAATTAATTGGAAACTGGATAATATGATAACACCTTTCATTTTCCTAACATTAGTCAGTAACAGAAATGTTAATACAATCAAGCCATTTTTATTACTGTAGAATGATAGAGCCGTACAATGATGCATGCCTGTAATTTCACCATTGAGTGGGTAAAAGGCTGGAGGAGTTTGAAGCATCCTGGGTTACATGAGATTCTGTAACTGTGGGTGGGAGCTAGAGAGACAGCTCAGGTGTTAGGAGCACAGGTGACTCACTGAGAGGATCTGATCTGGGTTTAGTTCCCAGCACCCACCTGTTAGCTTATAGCCATTAGGAACTGTAGGAACATGTAGGCTACATACCCATACACAGAAAAATAAAGTACAATTTAAAGAGAAAGAGTACCATCTCATGAATGGAGATATTTAGATCAGTGTGTAGTTTAGGCTTCAATGCTTGTATTCTTCTTTCCTCTTGTCACATAGCTTTCATAAAGGGATACTTAGGAGGCATATAGATCAGTGGGACTGAAGTTTTCCAAGAATTTTGCCTTGGTGCACACATTTAATCCCAGCACTTGGCAGACACAGGCAGGCAGATCTTTGTCTGTTCTAGACCAGCCTGGTCTACACGGCTCAGTCCATGACAGCTAGGGCTACACAGAGAAACCCTGTCTAAAAAAATGAAAACTGGGGGTGGGTGGGGGGGGTTGGAATTTTAACTTTATGGCATGGTCTTTAGTAGATTGTTTGAAGAGGGTGAGGTAAAGACAAATGATTAAGGTAGAGTTACAGGTATATCAGCAGTCTTTGGTCATTCATATCAACAGCTGTTATTTTGACTGGGTGATTTAAAACATTGAATCTCTCTAAAAATAAATGTCATGCTTTTAACAGGCAGTTGATGCCTCCACCAGCCTTTCCAGTGACTGGGATAAAAACAGAGTCTGATGAAAGGAATGGGTCTGGGGCCTTGACAGGAAGCCATGGTGAGTAAAATGTAGCTGGGGGTGGGAGTGACTAATAGGGTGGTTGTAAGCTATTAGTTTTCTAACATGGTGGTCATTCAGATTTAATCCTACTTCTATAATCTACTGGCTAATATTTTAATTTATAAGGACAGTATATAGCTTTTTATCTTTAACTATTCTGTGTCAAGAATAGAGCTGCTTGCTTCATACTTTATACATATCAATACATTAAAATACGATGAAATACGATGATTGTTGCTCATGTTGTCTGTGGAGGTCATTCGATACAGATGTAGGAAAAGTTAATTTGCCTTTGTGTAGGGAGCTGAGCCCGTCACCTAGCAGCATCCCAGAACTCTTCATCCTGTGCACGGGATCATTTGTGTTCCTTGCCTCTAGTTGATACAAATGAACAGAATAAAAAAAATAGTTTTTTCTTTTCTTCTTTTCTTTTAGCTCTTTAAGAGGTGAAATGTTAGTCCTCAGAGACTCACTTGCTAACTTTCCTTTTTTTTTCTTTCTTTTTTTTTTTTTCTTTTTTCTTTCTCTGTTTTCTTACATGGTTCTGGTGGATTCTCATTTGCTGGTGCTGGCTGTTTTTCGTGTGATCATCAACGTTTTGGGGTGACCATTGACCCTGTGACTACAAAATGGTGTCCAACTAACCACTTACAATTAACATCTTTTTTTTTAATTAACGAATTTGTGGTATTTTTTTCTTGGTGGGGAATGGGGTTGGGTTATTCTCTCTTCTAGATTATCCAGCCAAGAAGATGAAAACGGCCGAGAAGGGACTTGGCTTAGTGGCTTACGCGGCAGACTCCTCTGATGAAGAGGAGGAGCATGGAGGCCATAAAAATGCAAGTAGCTTTCCACAGGGCTGGAGTTTAGGCTATCAGTACCCTTCATCACAGCCGAGAGCCAAGCAGCAGATGCCGTTCTGGATGGCCCCCTAAGAAATAGTGGGCAGACCTTTGATGCTCGGTGACTCTTCTTAGCAATAATGCATGCACTTGATTAAACAAGACTCTGGGACCTGTTCTTGAAGACGTTAGGGACGAAGTGTCCTCTGTCATAAAGGGATGCCATTCTTTTTAAAATCCTGTTTCTGCAGTGGCATAACATCCGTTAAAATTCACTTAGAACCACAAATTTGCATCAAGCTTTTTAACAGTTGATGAAATGTGCTTGTCCAGAGAAACATCAGGATTGTGTCATTGCCACATGTTTGACCTGGTCTAGCCTTTTCCAAATGAATAGCCTCAACTCTGTTGTAAAGAAAGTTTTATTTGTATTTTACTACTATTGGGTCAATTTTGATAATAACTGGTTACAAACAAAGCCTTACTATTTATTAGTGGGAAATGGTTTTAAGACCTTTCCTTCGAGTACTTACATTTAATTCTAAGAGCTCCTCATCCCTCTTTCCATTTGGATTCTTTCTGTTTGGAAAATGCTGTTGTAGTAATTTAAAATGGTCAGATACAACTGGATCCTGAGTAGGAAAATGAAATTATTTTTGCATTGTTTCTTAGCTTGGGACGACCCAAAGCTGGCCCTTGTTGCCGGCACACGTGATTCAGGTAGCCATTGCTATTGTTACTGCCCTCTTAAGCTTCTTGTTTTCAGCTGGGTCAAAGAAAACGTGATTAAAAGCTGGTCAGAACTCATCACAGAAATGAAAGAGTTTCAGTCTCTCTCTGAACTGATTGCAGCAAAAGCAGAGAGACTTGACAACACTGACAGGATGTTGGACTCTGACTGGAATTGCAACTGGTCCTTTTTTCTTGGCATTGCAGGTTTTGCCAAAAGAACTTTTTTGTATCAAATATTGATGTGTGGAAGTGAAGGAACTGGTGGCTGAGCCAGAAGTGGGTTAAATATTGGTGTGTGGAGCGAAGGGATTGGTTGGCTGAGCCAGGAGTGTTTGAAATACTGTCATTTTTGCACATTTTTGGATACTTTGGAGGCTGGCTTTGTACAAACTTACTCTCTGGTTTCCTCTATGTTGTAAATAATTAGACCATAATTTCATTATAAATAAATGTATAAATATTCTGCTTGTCATTTCTTTTTCTTCTACAGCCCATTCATACACTAATATCAATAAATTTTTTAAGTTATTTTATGTGCATTGTTTTGCCTGCATGTATGTCTATGTGTGGGTATTGGATCCTAGTTACACATAATTGTAAGCTTCCATCTGTTTGCTGGGAATTGAACCTGGGTCCTTTGGAAGAATAGTTAATGCTTTTAAACGTTGAGCCATTTCTCCAGCTCCTCAATAAACTTCTTTATTCATAGTATAATGCAGTTATGTTTCTACCCAACAAGAAGTTAACAGGCTCCAATATTTGCATATGCTCCTCGGGTTTATAACTCTGCAAAGTATATCCTTGAAGCCAAAATGAAAGATTAAGAGATTATTATGTTTCATGTTTTTTATTTTTCCTTCAATTATTTGTTTGTTTTTGTTTTGTTTTTTCAAGACAGTTTCTCTATTGTTTTGGAGGCTGTCCTGGAACTCACCGTAGACCAGGCTGGCCTTGAACTCACAGAGATCTGCCTGCCTCTGCCTCCCAAATGCTGGGATTGAAGGCATGTGCCACCAACGCCCAGCTCAATGATTTATTTTTATTACTTATTTTTGAGACAGGGTCTCACTGTGTTCTTCTGCATCTTTGTGGTATATCTAAACTCACAAATACAACTATGTAGAAATAAACATCTTAAAACAAAAATTAATGAATACATTTTAAAGGCATGATGTGTGTAGCTGTTAGAGGACAGCTTTGAGGAATTAGTTCTTTCTTTCCACTATGTTTCTAGTGATCAAACTTGGCTCTTCAGCTGGCTTTCGTGACAAGTACTTATAACTATATGTGAGGTACCTTTCTGGTTTTGAAGGATGGGAACTGAAACACAGGATCTCACTATGCAGCCTCACTATATAAAACAGGCTAGCTTTTTCTTCTAGAGTGCTGGGATTAAAGATGGTCACACACTTGGTCTTCCACTTTTTTTTCGAGACAGGGTTTCTCTGTGTTGCTTTGGAGGTTGTCCTGGAACTCGCTCTGTAGACCAAACTGGTCTCGAACTCACAGATATCTGCCTGTCTCTGCCTCCCAAGTGCTGTGATTAAAGGCGTGCACCACCAACGCCTGGCTCCACTTGTTTTTTAACATAATCACTGTATGCTCAGGATAATTACAGCTACTGCCCAGCCAAAAAGACATTTGAACTTTTTTGGGGGGGGGCACGATGACACCAGGGTTTCTGTGTAGCTCTGGTTTGTCCTGCAACTCACTCTGTAGATCAGGCTGGCTTTGAACTCTGAGATCCACCTGCTTCTTCCGCCTGAGTGCTGGGATTAAAAGTATTTACCACCACCTTTTAGCTTTTTTGTTTACTGTTTTGTCTGCATGTATGTCTGTGAAGGTGTCAGATCACTTGGAGCTGGGTTACAGGCAATTGTGAGCTGATGTCTGGGTGCTGGCTCTCTAAAAGGATAGACAATGCCCTTTCTTGATCACTGAGCCATCCCTTCAGCCCATTTTATTTTCTGTTTTGTGCTTTTGGCAAATCCAGAACTTTGTCCATGCTAGATAAAGTTCTGCCATTGAGATATATGCTAGCCCCTCCTCATTTAGGATTTTTGGAGACTGGGTCTCATTATTTAGCACTGGCTGCTCTGGAACGCATGCTTAAACCAGACAGAGTTTGAGAGAGCCTTCTGCCTGTCTCCAGAGTGTTGGTTTTCTAGGCATATGCTACCATGTCTCCTTATCTAGCTTTTTAAAAAAAATTATTTTGAAGGCTGGGCACGGTGGTAGATCTCTGAGTTGAAATCTAGCCTGGTCTACATAGTTCCAGGATAGCCAGGGCTATGTAAAGAGACCCTATCTTAAACATGTTTTGAGACACTATTTCAGTTACTATTCTATTGCTGTGATGAGACGCCATGACCAAGGCAAGTATTTTTTTTTTTTTTTCCTAAGGCACTTAACTGGTGCTTGCTCACAGTGTTAGTCTCTGATCATCACAGCTGGAGCAGTAGCGGAAAACTACTAAACCTTCCCAAACAGTTTCACTAACAGGACCGTGCATTCAAACATGAGCCTATAGGGGCATTCTCATTTAAACTACCAGCACAGAGTCTCAACAAGTTCTGAGCTTGGCCATGAACCTCCTTCCTCAACTTTTCCAGTAGCTGGGAGGGTAGCTGTTTGGTACCACACCCGGTTCTTGAGAAGTTGCTGCAGAGTATGAGGGCAGCACATATCCCAGAACTCACGAGCTGGAGACTGGGAGGGTTTGAGTTTTTTAAAAACAGCTTAAGAGAGAAAGACCATGCAACAGAGTTCAAGTGGAGGTATTTTTTGTTTTTTAATAAGGGGAAGGGGGAGACTGGCCTTTGGGGGCAGGAGCAGCGAGAGGAAGGAAAGAGGCAGATAAAGGAACAAGAGGGAGAGAAAGAGGGAGGTGGGCAGGGCCCTTTTAAAAGGAAATAGAGTGAATATGCACAGGTGGTGCTCTTAGTGGCAGCAGCTGATGTGTATCCCGTCAGAACTCCAAAGGAGGCCAGTAAGTGCCTAAATACTAACAGCCTGGGCTACATGAGGCTGAGTGAGACCCTGAAAACAAGATACAATAATTGCACTTGGAACATGTTTGCTATGGTTTTGAGATCAGCCCCGTCTGTAAAGTAGGACCCTTAATGGTACCTTTTGCTAATTCCTGATTGCCCCTTAGCACTGGTATACCAAGAGACTGGTCAGGAACTGGAGACCAGCTTAATCTGCACACCTACACCCTGTTTCACAGAAAAGGGAAGTGGAGATTGCAGATACAATGCAGGAAAGTTTCACTATATGTGATGTGCAATGTGCATGAAAATAATACCCACTTAGTGCTGGTTTTTTTGTTTATGAGACTGGTTCTCACTATGTAGCCTTTACTTGCCTGCAATTCCTAAGATACTTGCATTTTTAAAATTTATTTATTAGTTCTTCGAGACAGGGTTTCTCTGTATTGTTTTGGAGGGTGTCCTGGAACTCTGTAGTCCAGGCTGGCCTCAAACTCACAGAGCCGCCTGCCTCTGCCTCCCGAGTGCTGGGATTAAAGGCATGCGCCACACCTGACTGACGTGCTTCTTTTAAAAATGTGTATATTTTGCCTGCATGTATGAATGTGCATGGCCTGATGCCTTCAAGAGGACAGAAGAGGTTGGTGGATCTTTGAAACATGTTATGGATGGTTGTGAGCTATTGTGTGAGTGCTAGAAACTGAGTCCAGATCCTATACAAAAGCAACAAGTGCTTTAACTACTGATAATCTCTCCAGAGATCTGTTTTTAGACAGAGACTCTGCAACCCAGGTAATGTGGAACTTAGTATGTACCCAAGACGACCGACCTTTCAACTGCTTGATGCCAACGCCTCTCATGCTGGGTTTATAGGGATGTGCCATCATATCTGGCGTGTATCTGTCTTAATAGTTTTAAAATACAGAATTCCAACTAGATTAACTGGGTCCTAAGAACATCTGGTCTTGGTTCCAAGACACTTAGATGTGACAGCGGTTTATGGAAAGAAAGAAAAAAAGCACCGCTAGTAACAATTACCATACTTACTCTAAATGAAATCCTTTATTTTGGTAAGATTGAGGGGATGTAGGTGTGTTTTGCTGTACACCTGGTAACAGATTTTGTTCTCCCCACCAGTAGTAAATAGCCCTAAGTTACTCACTTTAAAGGTTTCTGTTTCGGTTAGTGGAACACCCATTTATCTACGTGCAATTTATGTACGTGCAAGCCTTGAGAAACAGTACGTGACCAGAGGGCTTTGCGAGTCAGAACTAGGCGTGGGGTGGAGCGAAGTGTCTGTCAGCTGTGGGGGCGGGGCTCCAGGGTCCCGCCCCTACCACCGGCGCCATCTTCCTGGACCCGGGCGGGGCACTGGGCTGAGCGGCGCCGCTCGGGAAGGAACGCGGGCTGCTACCCGGATTCGACTGTCTTCAAAGGTACAGGCACAGGTGGGCAGGGACGGGCAAGCGGGCAGCGGGGGCCAACGAGAGGCGGCAGCCGGGAGAAGACCTGGAGGTGTCAGGCAGCCCACAGGACTCATCCGGCTCCTTTCTAGTGGGACCCTGCCTCAGTCCGAAGAGAAGTTCAAGTTTTTATTTTTCTGGAGAAAGTAAGTTTGGAAATCTATGATGTGTTTTAGGACTGAGACCAACGCGGAGAGGGAGCAGACGTGGGTTTCCTGGTGTTCCTCAGTGAGCGGGGTAGGCCGCGGGATTCGGGAGCCTGGGGCTCTTAGTCTGTGGCCGCCTGTCTCCATCCTGGATCGAATGTTTTGTGCCTTCTCTAGGAGGCCTTTCCCAGCGGCCCGCGACTGCCCAAGAGGACAATGGATTCTGGAGCTCGCCCAGTTGCTAGCAGCCCCGCAGCGCTCTCACGAGAATATAAACTAGTGATGCTGGGTGCTGGTGGCGTTGGCAAGAGCGGTAGGTAACCTTTCCCATTGGACAGAAAAGTTTGAACAGCACCTACGGGACCAAGCCCCAGACCAAATGGGTTACTGGCTCTTGTGCAGAGTAGCAAGTAAAATGCTTAGTGGTCACTGTCATGAGTTCCATTTCTTGTTTTGAAGCCATGACAATGCAATTCATCAGCCACCGATTCCCAGAAGATCATGACCCCACCATTGGTAAGTCAGAGCTCATTTATATTTCCAGGTACATCCTGTAAAAGTATCTTAATGGATTTAAAGTTTAAAAAAATAGTATATATCTTGAGCTTTTTTGTATATGTAATTCGTACCTATTTAGACGCAAGAATAAGCAGTTGAGTATTTTTTTTCTTAGACTATATGTACATATGCCATCTTTAGCCTTTGGATTAGGTTGAGCGTTAATAGGCAAATGGCCCTTTTTTTATGGACGTATTTTGTATTATTAGGTTAAAGGGAAGTTTAAAGGCTACTCAACGAAACCTTTCCTGCTATCACTTCTAAGGGTCTGACTTGAGACTGACCCTATTAGTATGAGTCAGCTGGTTTGAACTTCCACAAAAGGAAGCAGAAAAACAAGCAGAGCCAGCCTCCTGAACTCTTAGAACCTAACTTCCACTTGGAGCTCTGCATTTATTTCCTTATCCCTGCAGCTCATTCTATAGCCGCATCTTGTATGGCTCTGTGATCTTTGACTGTCAGACGTTGGTAGAGTGCCAATAGAGTAAATCAAGTCTTTTTTTACACTGGGATTGACCTGAGACTTCAAGCCAAGCATCCCAGGCAAGGGCATTACCATGGAGCTGTATCCCAGATTTGCTTTGTGTTTTTTTTTTTTTTTTTATAAAAGTTTGAGCCCAGGCTAGCCTGAACACACAGCACTTCTTTTCCCTTAGTCTGGGACTGCAGGCATGAGCCCCCATGCCCAGTTCTATAGTGTGGGCTGTGTTGTTGCTGTTGTTAGTTGCTGTCTTGTCTTGATTAAAAATGTTCCTCACTCCTAAATCATAAGGAAGCAGTTTTGTTGTTGGTTTGTTTTTTTTTTCATTTATTTGAGAAGGGTTTCTCTGTCTTGGTTGTCCTGGAACTCGATCTGCAGACCAGGCTGACCTCGAACTCGGAGATCCATCTGCCTCTGCTGCAATTAGAGGCATGTGTCACCACCCAGTAGGGCTGAGGAGGGGATAAAAGCTCTGCCATGAGCTGGGAGTGATGGCACACATCTGTACTCTCAGCATTTGGGAAGCGAAAGCAAGAGGAATGTGAATTTATCACCAGTCTGGGTTACATAAAGAGTTATAGGCCGGCCAAGAATACTGTTGAGATCCTCTGTCAAAACAAAAACAAAAATCTGCCATTCTGTGGCTGCAGTCATTTTATTTGTCATATGCTTCTGTAGGTTTGGAAAATGGAAAGGGACACTTAAGTCTTTTTAGTGAGCTGCATGGGAGTTATTTATTTTTTGTGCTAGGGATCAAGCCTAGAGCCTCACACAGGCTAAGTACATGCTGTACCACTGAGTTGCATTCTAGCTCGGCTATATCAACTTGAGAACATTGTTTCAGAGATTCCAACTGTGGTGTGGGAACTCTGAATAAAGTTAGTTCAGGGTTAGGATCATTTACTTTGTTCCAAGCAGCAGTAGCTCCAGGCCACCCACTGGTGGCCCCTAGCACAGAGCCCAAATTCAGAGTTGTCTCAGCTCAAGTGATGCTTCTCTAGCAGGACATTGCTTGTGCTAGATGGCCCGGTGGGGTCGGTGTCTGCCCTCTGCCCTGCCCTCCTGTACCGCAGGCTCCTGAGTGTGGGAAGACAGGCTGACAGTCTACCACACCCACCTAGTTATTCTGCCTTGTTTATAGTGAGAACTAGACACACCTAGAGATTGGCTGGAGATTGTCACATGATCACCTCAGTTGGACTGGAACCTAGACCCTGAGCTCAGATTTCAAGGGTCTAGGGCCCATGTCCTAACCTCAGTCCTTGGTAGGAGAGTAGAAATGTTCCTACACCTCCTTTATTTTATTCTCCTATACAGGTTTTTAGAACTTTCAAAATAAGCAGAATTTTCTTTGGTCATGTCCATGGTGCTATCTGTTTTCTTGTGCTATGTCATAATTCTGACCAATTGCTCGGAGCTCGTCTTGCTTCGTTCCCAGGTACCACTGACAGTCTTTTATTTTAACATGGTAGCTAGTGTGAAGTACAGTGAAATTCACTGTCTGTCCTACGGTTGAGATGTGAGCTCCACAGACTGTGGTAACAAGCTGGGATGGATCTGTGGGTCTGAGAGGGCTGGCTCTGGAACTCACTGCAGTGGAAGAGTTGGGGCTGTGAGCCTGAGGAGTGTATGCCTTCTGATAACTCTTGAAGAAGGAAGTCTGTCGTTTCCTATGCCTCCTTCACTGAAAACAAAAATGTACTTCTATAAACACCACCTCAGCATCAGTGGGAAGGTGCTTGCCCCCTAAGCCTGCTGGCCTGAATTTCTACACAACCCATGTAAAGGTGGAGGAGGGATCTGACTCCACAAAGACCTACTAGATCCCTACACACACACACACACACACACACACACACACACACACACACACACACACACACACACACACAGAGTCATACGCATACATAATAAATTGCCTTTAAATAAGGTAAACTCTAAAAGAACTCCCTTATTTCTTTTTGTATTTAGTTTTTTGAAAGTGACATTGAGTACTCTTTTTATTTGTTGTGCTTGGGACTGAACCAAGGACCTTGAACATACTACACAATCACACTACTACATGCTGCATCCCTAGCTCTCTTGTTTTTAATGTAAAACTCATACTTTCTCTACCCCAGGAAGGCTGAATTCAGGACTTTATGTATATTCTGTAAATACTGCAGATCTGTACCCACTGCCTCATGAACTGACTTTTTAAAAACATTTATTTTTATTTTATGGCTATGGGTGTTTGCCTGTATGTAAGTCTGTGCGTCACAGTGTGCCTGGTGCCTGCAGCGGCAGAAGAAGCGCATTGGATCCCATGGAATTGGAGTTAATAGAAAGTTATGAGCTCTCACGTGGGTGTTGTGACTGGAAAGATGGCTCAGAGGTTAAGAGCACTGCCTGTTCTTCCAGAGGTCCTGAGTTCAATTCCCAGCAACCACATGGTGGCTCACAACCATCTATAATGAGATCTGATGCCTTCTTCTGGCATGCAGATAGAACACTGTAATATAATAAATAAATATTAAAAAAGAAGGTAGCTATGATGGCATGCATTTGTAGTCACAGTGTTTGAAAGTCTGAGTTTGTAGGATCTTTTGGAACCAGGAATGCATGGCCAGCTGGACAAGATAGAGACCTCATTTCTTTGTGTTTTGGTAGTGGGTAGTATTTAGGGTAGGAGTTGAGTCAGGATCTCATGTAGGTCAGGCTGGCCTTGATTCACTATGGAGTTGAGGATGACTTTGAACTATTGATTCTATTCCTTCACTTGCTGAGTCGTAGGATCATAGGCATAGACTCTGCCTAACTTCCAACTCCAGTGTAGAACATACACGAATCTTACCTGCTGAGGAAGTGCAAGGGCTAGATTGGACAGTTTATTTAAGACTCTGTCTCAAAAATAAAATTTATCTGGGCTGGCGGCTGCAGGCCTAGAATGTTTCCTGTGCTGCTGAGACAGGAGGATCACAAATTCAAAGACAACTTGTTCTACTGACTGAGTTCAAGACTAAACTTGTCAACTTAATGAGACCTCTCAAAAGTAAAAAGAGCCTGGCATAGTGGCTCACACCTGTAACCTCAGCACTTGGAAGGCTAAGGCAGAGGATTACCACAAATTAAAGACTAGTCTGGCCGGGCGGTGGTGGTGCACACCTTTAATCCCAGCACTCGGGAGGCAGAGGCAGGTGGATTTCTGTGAGTTCGAGGCTGGGCTGGACCGACAGCCTCCAAAACAACACAGAGAAACCCTGTCTCGTAAAAACAAAAACAAACAAACAAAAAAGGACTAGTTTGAGCGACAGTATGAACCCCTGGCACAAAACAAAACAAAGAGAGAGCTACCTGTGGATCTCAGCGGTAGAGCACTTGTCTATCAGAGGCCTTAGGCTTTCTCTTCAGTGATTTAAATAAACAAAAAGTATTAGAAGGCAGAGGCAGGCAGACTTCTGAGTTCCAGACCAGTCTGGTCTATGTATCAAGTTGGCCATCCAGGGCTACATAGTGAGACCCTATCTCAAAAACAAAAAATAAACAACAGAAAAAAATTAAAAAATTTTAGAAGGGCTAAAGATATCTCATGCTTGTGTTGAAACTTTAAGACCTTGAGTTTAAATCCCAGCACTCGGGAGGCAGAGGCAGGCAGATCTCTTGAGTTCAAGGCCAGCCTCGTCTACAGATCGAGTTCCAGGGCAGCCTTCAAAACAATACAGAGAAACTCTGTCTGGAAAAACCAAAAAAACAAAAAAACAAAAGACCTTGAGTTTAACCCCTAGTATCGAATCTAACAATAACATGCAGAAAAGAACTTGGTTTTGTTTTGTTTGTTTGTTTGTTTGTTTGTTTTGTTTTTGTTTTTTTTTGTTGTTTTTTTTGTTTTTTTTTTTGTTTTTTTTTCAAGACAGGGCTTCTCTGTGGCTTTGGAGCCTATCCTGGAACTCACTCTGTAGACCAGGCTGGCCTCGAACTCACAGAGATCCGCCTGCCTCTGCCTCCCGAGTGCTGGGATTAAAGGCGTGTGCCACCAACGCCTGGCAAGAACTTGGTTTTGTAACTAAGGGATTATGACATAGTTGTGAGGGATGCTTTGCCGAATATAGTAAGTACACTGACTGTTTTTGCAGGATCCCAGATTTGGTTTCCAACACCAACATGGCAGCTTATAACCATCTATAACTCCAGTTTCAGGGAATCTGATGCCATCTTCTGACCTGTGTGGGCATCAGACACACACATAGTACTCTTCCAGCCAAAACACTCATATGTGTAAAATAAAAATAAGTAAGTCTTTAAACAAAATGTATCCAGGAACTCCAACCTTTGAAACCCACACTCTGGTTGAGTATGAAAGAGGAGCTGTAGCATATGCTGTGCACCTGGGGCCAAGTTTGAGTCCACAGCACTGGGGTTTAACGCAAGCTCATCACCAGTTAACTGCGTTTTAAAAAAGATAGTCAGTATTTTGCCTTTTTTTTAAAGATTTATTTATTTAATACATATACAGTATTTGGTCTGCATATATGCCCATACACCAGAAGAGGGCACCAGATCTCATTATAGATGGTTGTAAACCACCATGTGATTGCTGGGAATTGAACTCCTGACTTCTGGAAGAAGAGCCAGTGCTCTTAATCCCTGAGCCATCTCTCCTGCCCTTATTTTTTTGTTTTTAAGTTATTTTTTTTCTAAGACAATCTCACCTGTAACTCTAGTTGGTCTCAAACTCACAGAGATCTGCCTACCTCTTCACCTTGCCTGCCCCTGCCAGTGGTGGGATTAAGAATGTGTGCTGCCATACCTGGCTTCCCTTCTTTTGCTATGAAATGGGAATAATAATACTGTATTGGATTATTGTGACTATTAAGTGATGTAGTGTATACAATTTACTCAGCCTAGTATCTTGTATGTGCTTTAATAAGTGATAGTTGGGACTAGAACATGCATGCACCGCAATGTGCCGTGTGCTGTGGCATATATGTCCACACACACACATCATGCACACACTAAAAAGTATTTTAACTTAGTTAAATATTTTAACCCAATTACATGTGTTCTCATAAGACCCTTGGTTGTGGTATCTCTTCACAGCAATAGCACAGTGACTAAGACAATCCTTTTCTTTCATTTTTTTTTGTTTGTTTGTTTTTGTTTTTCGAGACAGGGTTTCTCTGTATTGTTTTGGAGGCTGTCCTGGAACTCACTCTGTAGATCAGGCTGGCCTCGAACTTACAGAGATCCACCTGCCTCTGCCTCCTGAGTGCTGGGATTGAAGGCGTGCGCCACCAACGCCCGGCCTTTTCTTTCATTTTTAAAAAATATTTATTTTATATATGTATGAGTGTTTTGCCTGCATGTATGTCTGTGTGCCATGCATGTACCTGGTGCCTACATTGGTTCTTTACCGAGGGATTGGTTCCTCTGGAACTGAAGTTACAGATAGTTGTAAGCCACCATTTGGGTGATAGGAATTGAACCCACTTCTTCTGCAGGGGCAGCCAATGCTGTTAACATCGGAGCTATCTCTCCTTCCCCTCATTCTTTCTGGTTTGTTTTTGTTTTTAAGACAGCATCTCCTTATGTAGCCCCAGATGACCTAGAACTCATTATGTAGACAAAGTTGGCCTTGAACTCAAAGAGATCCTATTGCCTCTGTTTCTCAAATGCTCATAATTAACTTAGCTGTGAATAAGATATCTGACCATGCCAGGTAGTGGTGGGTCATGTTTTTTTTTTTTTTAATTTATTTTTATGTTATGTGCATTGGTGTTTTGCCTGCATGTTTGTCTGTGTGAGGCTGTCAGATCCTGGAGATACAGACGGTTGTGAACTGCCATGTGGGTCCTGGGAACTGAGCCCAGATCCCCTGGAAGAGCATTCTGTGTCCTTAGCTGCTGAGCCATCTCTCCAGCCCCTGACATATCACAATCTTAAACTCCTGGAAACGGAGAGGCAGGCAGGATCAGGAATCAGATTGTAGAAAACAATGGTTCATGCTTTTAATCCCCACACTTGGAAGGCAGAGGTGGGCGGAGTTAATTCTAGGATAGTGAAAGCTACACAATAAACAAATAAACAAACTAAACAAAATGATGTATGACCACCCATGGACAACAAAAAAAAAAAACTTGTTGGATAGCCTAGTCTATATATTTTGATGAATTTGTAGCATCCTGAGAAAATCAAGCACATAAGAACAACTCAGGGGGCCAAAGAGACGGCTCAACAGGTAAAAGCACTTGCTCTACGAGCTTAGTGACCTGATTTCCACTCCTAGAGTGCGTATGAAGGTATACGGAAAAAGCTGACTTCATAAAGTTGATTGACCCTTGACCTCCATATACACAAACAATGCACACACATAATCATCACTAATAACAAAATTTTTTTTAATTTTTTTTTTTTTTTTTTTTTTTTTGGTTTTTCGAGACAGGGTTTCTCTGTGGCTTTGGAGGCTGTCCTGGAACTCACTTTGTAGACCAGGCTGGCCTCGAACTCACAGAGATCCACCTGCCTCTGCCTCCCAAGTGCTGGGATTAAAGGCGTGCACCACCAACGCCCGGCAATAATAAAAGTTTTTAAAGAACTTGGTGAGCTGGGTAGATGGCTCAGAGGTTAGAGACTTGCTATAGAAGCTAGAAGTAGAGTTCATTTCAGATCCCCAGAACCCAGGTAAGTGGCTTACATGTAATTCCAGCCTCCAGAGTCAAAGATAGAGGCTTCAATGAGAAAACTGCCTAGTGAGACCTAATACTAACCCTGGGTCTCTACACACATGTACACCCCACACACACGAGCATTCATACATATTCATCTGTGCATCTCACACACATGAAAACAAATGTTAAAAAACTGGATGAAGCCTGGGAATATAGCTTTATATGGTAGAACACTCATCTAATACTTGAACCCCTGGATTCGAGGTCTGGCTCTACCAAAATAAATAAGCATATAAATAAAATTGTGTGGGACCACCTCTTTCAGAGGTCAAGTTTTCAACTCTTACTTCTTCCCGCTTGTGTGTTCGTCCCTCCTGTAGAGGATGCTTATAAGATCCGGATCCGCATCGATGATGAGCCTGCCAATCTGGACATTCTGGACACAGCTGGACAGGTACTGAACCCCAGAACTGTGTAAGTGCAGAGTGTGTCCTCTAGGAAGGTGGCAGGCTTCTGTGGACAGTATCACTAGTTTGTCTTTCTTAATTTTCCATGCTCTGCCTCAGGATAGCAGGTAACTGGCATGCCGTTCATTTCTCTATGAAGTAGACAGTGTGTGCATAGTCTAAGCTGCGGCACTGCATTATGGACCTTTGTTTCCTCTAGGCAGAGTTTACAGCCATGCGGGATCAGTATATGAGGGCAGGAGAAGGATTTATCATCTGTTACTCGATCACGGATCGTCGAAGTTTCCATGAAGTTCGAGAGTTTAAACAACTTATCTACCGTGTCCGACGCACTGATGACACACCCGTGGTTCTTGTGGGAAACAAGTCCGACTTGAAGCAGCTGAGACAGGTGAGAAGAAAGGCCTGTATTACTGTGGGTAGCCATTTGTTTCAAAGTAGAAAATGAAAATTAGCCTCTCTCTAGCTTTAGAAATGTCCCTCTAGTTATTATAGGTAAAAAGCTGGATTTTAGAAACATCATAAGCTACCTATGTCATATACCTGTAACCTAAGCATTTGATAGGCTAGGCAGGAGGCCAGCCTCTGCTATGTGGACCCAGGCTCCGTCAGTCAGTCAATTAACAAACAGATGGCAATAGAATACTCATTAAGCGCCGGGCGTTGGTGGCGCACGCCTTTAATCCCAGCACTCGGGAGGCAGAGGCAGGCGGATCTCTGTGAGTTCGAGACCAGCCTGGTCTACAAAGCGAGTTCCAGGACAGCCTCCAAAAAGCCACAGAGAAACCCTGTCTCGAAAAACCAAAAAAAAAAAAAAAAAATCTGGGCAATACTCTGAACATAGAATCATGTTATTTGGAGTCCTACGCCCTCCTCAGCACCTTAGTGACACTGGGCTGTGTCCCCCCCCACGCCCCTTCCCCGGCACCTCTCCAGGGGGATGCCCGTTTACTATTGACAGTTACAGCTGTCACCTGCTGTACACTACACTTTATCTCATGGTTATGCCTTTGCAGGTCTCCAAGGAAGAGGGATTGGCTCTGGCGCGAGAATTCAACTGTCCCTTTTTTGAGACCTCTGCTGCATACCGTTACTACATCGATGATGTTTTCCATGCTCTTGTACGGGAGATACGTAAGAAAGAAAAGGAGCTGGTGTTGGCCATGGAGAAAAAGTCTAAACCCAAAAGCAGCGTATGGAAGAGGCTGAAGTCACCGTTCAGGAAGAAGAAGGACTCTGTAACTTGAGGAGAGTGTGAAGGGTCTGCTGTGAACTGTGGCGCTGCTCCAGGCGGTCCAGTAATCTGCAATGATGAGCATGCTGTCTGCTCTCTCTCCCACTATTCTAAATGTCACTGGTGAGGGGGACATGTCCACTAGGAGTTTTCAATGATTCACTATTTAAAGCCCTGTCTTAGTTGACTCTGATTTATTAACTCATCAGAGCACTGTCTGCTCCTTAATTGTCACATTAGAATTTGGTCTGCCATTGTTTTGGTTATGTTGCTGATGTGAATTAACTCGTGTAAATTGTTTATGCCCAGGAGAATATGTATTCCGTGTGCACTTGACTAGGGTTACAAAAGGGACTTTGTGCTATGTACGTCCACCGTCCTTCAACTTGAGCTTCCTGGTTCTGTCTCACAGAAGGACCTCCGCCTTGTTTTTCACACTGTACATCTTGGAGACACAAAAATGGAACAGGGAAACTAATGCTAAAGAGATTGGTGCTAAAGGTGGGTAGGTGTCTGTGGAATGGACTCCTGTTATAGGTTATGGAGTGATGAGGTTTAGGGAGATACTTCTGTGTGACACCACTGGAAACATACAGGGTCAGAACAGTGTTCCCATGATGAGCCTGTCAAGCGCACATTTGACCCAAAGGCACTCAGGTGGAAAAAGAGACAGAAGCGGAGACACAATGAAGGACCCTCTTTAACACACTTTCCTCCTCTTTCAGTGGCGTGCCTTTCCTTACCTTTGAAGGCTGGCACTTTGAGAACTGCTTTTGGATCTGGGACCATCACAAGATCACTCGATTCTTATTTAAATCGTTTCTTGGGCTAGGCATGGTAACTCATTGCTGTAATCCTAGTTTTTAAGACTAAAGCAGGAGGACTGCCGTGAGGCTAGCCTCTGCTACGGAATGAAAGCCTGTCTCAGAAAAACAAAACCAAAAATAAATAAATTCTTTCTTAGGACAGCTACACCACAAGCCTTGTCCAGGTTTCTTTCCCCTTTGAAGAATTGGGCCTGCCCAGATGGTTTTTAGACTGATGGCATCGTCCAGATGGAAGAAAGAGTCTGGGTAAAACTGTTAGATGTTGCCTTGACCTTAGCAGTCATTAGACTCAGGGCTTGAAGGTCTGGTGTTTGTTTGATAGGCCGGTCTTAGAGCTTTAATATTGACTGTGTGCAGTGGCTTCGTAACCTGAAGATGTTCTCAGATAGTTCAAATCTCAGCCACCACTTTGGCTCCTGTATGTGGTCTTGGAAGGAGCAGCTTTAACGGTCAGTGGAGAGCTCTTGGTCTTGGGGTTAGGATTATGATGCTGTCCAGGTGTGCTGTGTGGGACACGTCCAGGAAAGTCATGATCCCTATATGGAGTGTTCACTCCAGGCTCAGGTGACACATCTTCATCTGCCACTCAGCTTCCTGCTGTCAAAGGAATGCCAGATGACCCAGATCCCTTGGGGGCCATTGCTAAGACCTTTACAGTTTTGGGTAGTTGTCCTTTGAAAGTACTATTCAAAATGTGTCTTTAATATTCAAGCCATCAAAAAGTGCAAGACCCAAATTCAAGTCTATGCAAGTCATAGCATTTCAGAGAAGCAACAAAATAGAGACAAAATACAGCATCAGTTTCTTTGAACAATAGCTCACCTGGATAAGGACTTCAGGTTGAAGTCCTTCTCTGCTTATTACTGATGATCTGCGGGATTGTTATCTGTGTCAAGCAAGGCACTGACAGCAATTCAAGGTTGTCAAGGCAGGAAGCATTGCTGGGAAGGAAGGCCTGTGAGACGGAGAGGGTTGTGCTCTACAAGAAAAGCAGCAGCGAGTGTGTTTAGGGCTGTCCCTGTCAGACATTTGAGCCTGAGCTGGTCTCTTGGTTCCCATTGAGCATTATTCATGGTGCTAGAGAGCTGCAGAGCTCAGTGGTGCGAGCGATCTTGCCTCCTCAGCCACCACGCCCTGTAGCTGCTCACAAGGCATGAAAGGCCGCAAGGCATGAAAATCAAGCATTCTCTGGAACTTTGAAGAGAAGATTCAGGCATAAGTTGAAAGACACTGAAACTGTATTGAAACAAGATTAGTAATTACAAGCCTCAGAAACTAGTGCCTAGAATTAGCTGCTTATAATCAGCAGGAAGACATGTTTTAACTTTCATATATTAGCAAAGTGTTACACGTTACCTGGCAAGTTCTTTACTGGTGTATTTGTATATGAAGGTAGTTTGTGCAGCACAATATAAGATTTTTAAACAATGTGTTGGGTTTTTATTTTTCTCTTTTTTTTTTTTTACCTTTGAGTGGGTAGAAATGTTTAGAATCTTTTTTTTCCAAATATTTTATTTATTTATTGCATACACAGTCTTCTGCCTGCATGCCAGTGGAGGGCACCAGATCTCTGGTGGTTGTGAGCCAGCATGTGGTTGCCGGGAATTGAACTCAGGACCTCTGGAAAAACAGTGCTCTTAACCACTGAGCCATCTCTCCTGTCTGAAACGTATCAGATCTTTTTTTTTTTTTTTTGGTTTTTCGAGACAGGGTTTCTCTGTATTGTTTTGGAGACTGTCCTGGAACTAGCTCTGTAGACCAGGCTGGCCTCGAACAGAGATCCGCCTGTCTCTGCCTCCCAAGTGCTGGGATTAAAGGCGTGCGCCACCAACACCCGGCTGTATAGGATCTTTAAAAGAAAAAAAGTACTTTTTTTTTTTTTTACTTATTACTAACATGGTGAGTGCATTCCAATTTTTTTTATCATTATTTGTGTATGTGAACACGTGACATGGTACATGTGTCAATGTCAGAGAATGCCTTGTAGGAGTTGGTTTTCTCCTTTCATCCTTTTATGGGTCCCAGAGATTAAATTCAGGTTTGGCACACAACCTATAATCCTAGCATTCCAGAGGCTGAGACAGGAAGATTGTAGATTCAGAGTCAGCCTGAGGGACATAGTGACACTCTGTGTTAAAAAAGGAAAGCGCACGCCTTTAATTCCAGCACTCTGGAGGCAGAGGCAGGCAGATCTCTCTGAGTTGGAGGCTAGCCTGTCTACAGAGCAAGAAAGCCAGGTGTGATGATGCAGGAGGACTGGAAGGTCAAGGTGTCCTCCCTCCATAGAGTTCCAGAGAGACAGTGTTCGACCTGAGTTTTTATTTTATGTAAGTTTGGTAAATATCTGCCTCACAATTTGTAGTGTTAAAACTTTTCCAATCTCAGCCGGGCGTTGGTGGCACACGCCTTTAATCCCAGCACTCGGGAGGCAGAGGCAGGCGGATATCTGAGTTCGAGGCCAGGCTGGTCTACAAGAGCTAGTTCCAGGACAGCCTACAAAGCCACAGAGAAACCCTGTCTCGAAAAACAAAAAAAAAACAAAAAACAAAAAAAACTTTTCCAATCTCAGCTAGGTAGTAGTGGCACACTTTAATCCCAGCACTCTGGAGGTGATCTACAAAGCAAGTTCCAGAACAGCCAGAGCTGTTACACAGAGAAACCCTGCCTTGAAAAGCAAAAAACATGCCAGGTGTTGGTGGCGCACACCTTTAATCCCAGCACTCTGGAGGCAGAGGCAGGCGGATCTCTGTGAGTTCGAGGCCAGCCTGGTCTACAAAGTGAGTTCCAGGACAGCCTACAAAGCCACAGAGAAACCCTGTCTCGAAAAACCAAAAAAAAAAAAAAAATAAAAGAAAAGCAAAGCAAAGCAAAAAACACAAAAACCTTTCCCAATCTCAATCTTGTAGATACTTATGTGCTTGTTATATGCTTATGTGCACCACACTTACGCCTGGTGTCTAAGGAGGCCAAAGGGCATCAGCTCCCTGGAGCTGGGAATGCAGGCAATTATGAGTCACCCTGATGTAGATGTTGGGAACTGAACCTGGGTCTTCTGGGACAGCAGAGCAGTAAGCACTCTTAACCACTGAACTATGCGTGTGCTGGAGAGATGCCTCCATGGTGAGGAGTATTACCAGATTCCAGAGGCCCAGAGTTAGTTTACCACGCCTGTCACACCAACTCCAACAATGCCTCAGGCCTCCATGGGCACTGCTGTGCTGGGCCCTAGTGCGGCACACTCAAGCATATGCCTACATGCAGGGACACTCCCACACACATGTAATTAAAAATAGTAAAATCTTTAAAAAGAACTCTGTGAGTTCGAGGCCAGGCTGGACCGACAGCCTCCAAAACAATACAGAGAAACCCTGTCTCGTAAAACAAAAACAAAACAAAACCAAAAAAAAAAGAATTATGGAAACAGGTCTCATTTGAATCAGGATCCAAAATTAGCGAGCATACCTATAGAGACTTAGCACTTCAAAGAACATTTCTACTGTGGAATGTGAGTGACCACTGCGCCTCTTGGGGAACTGCCTGCCATAGCCTTTTTGGGGTTTGATGGCACCATCTATACGAAGAAAACAATTGCTGCCAGAGCACTTCCCAGCAGAAGGGACATCTCTTTCCCCTTGGCACAACTGACTTGAGTTGACTTGCTTATTGTTCTACTAGGAGCATGGGGCCAGGGTAAGGCGTAGAGGAGGAATTCACAGCACCTTTGTAGCTCTTAGCAAGCAGTGTAAACTCCTTGGATCAGTCTCCTAAGCTCACAGTCCTCTGTTCCTTCACCTTAGTCACCGAAGCTGCCCATGAGTTGGAGAGGCAGAGCACATATGCTCAGCTGATAGAGCAGCTGCCTACTGTGAGGGGCTCCGAGTTCCATTCTGAACATGCCATAAAGCCAGGCATAGCATGAGTGCCGGTGACCTCCTGAGTGGGGTCAGACAGAAAATCAGAAATTCAAGATCATCGGCTACATAGTGATCTTGAGGTCAGCCTGAGCTGTGTTAGACTGTCAGTAAATTAATTCATTAAGGCAGGTGATACACAAGTCTGTAATCTGAATACCTGGAACCACAAGTTCAAGACCAGCCTGGCCAACTTAGTTAAAGGGTAGGGACCTAGCTAAATATAGAACCCTTGCCTAGCATAGTAGTACTAGGACTCAAGTCCCAGCACTGCAAAATAAAGAAAAAATAAAGAAATGGCAGCTCAAGTAGGGAAGCTGGAGGCCTGGGAACAAGTCAGAAAAAAATGTTTGTTTGTTTTGGTTTTCTTTTTTCAAGACAGGGTTTTTCTGTGTTGCCTTGGCTTTCCTGGAACACTCTCTCTCTGTAGATTAGGCTGGGCTTGAACTCAGATCTGCTTGCCTCTGTCTCCTGAGCACTGGGATTAAAGGCGTGTACCGTTGCCACCACCATCACCCAGAAAAAAAATCTTTTATTTATTTGTATTTATTTATTTTTATTTTATATGCATTGGTGTTTTGCCTTGGTTGTCAGGTCCCCTAGAACTGGAATTACAGACAATTGAGCTGCTATGTGGGTGCTAGGAATTGAACCCAGGTTCATCTAGAAGAGCAATCGGTGCTCTTAACCACTTACCCATCTCTCAATCCCTGAAAAAAAACTCTTAATATGAAGGAAACCACCAAAAAGTCTTAAATGTTTGGGACATGCCAGGCGGTGGTGGTGCATACCTTTAATCCCAGCACCCGGGAAGCAGAGGCAGGAGGATCACTGTGAGTCTAAGACCAGCCTGGTCTACAAGAGCCTAGTTCCAGGACAGCCTCCAAAGCCACAGAGAAACCCTGTCTCAAAAAAAAAAAAAAAAAAAAAGAAAGAAAGAAAGAAAGAAAGAAAGAAAGAAAAGAAAAGAAATGTTTGAGACATTCTGAAATTGATGACCAAGTTTTCCAGTGACTTGGCTTGGAGACAAAATTACTGGGATAATTTACTTTTGTGTGTGCATTCCTCCGCACACATCATCAGATCATGAAGTCACCCAGTTTTTTGAACAAAAGCTGCTGGGGTGGGGACACAGTTCATTTCCTGCCCTTACTGCTGGAGATCTGCACTGCATGCTCTGATGCTGGTGCTAATGAGCCACAGACAGGGGAACTCTCCAGCTTCACCGGCCAACTA